TGAAATCGGCGTTGATATTTTGTGATACCAGTAACTTTTTCTGAGTAGAATCGATTTTACCGCTCTAGAACAACGGAGTACAGACTACGGAACGCGCAGAATCTCCGCCCTAACAACACAGGGATGTTCTAGGTACGTACCCTTTTTGTCGCACGGTACAAGGACATAATTGGGGTATCCAGGGGTGATTGTCCAGTGGACATCCGGCCCGGTTCATCCATAGGTTATCCTATTCGTGTCCCTGGAATATCTGATATCTATTCACATCAGAGTCATTGACTTTCATCAAAATATTGAATTGAATTTTCATGAAAATGTTTGGTTTTTTTCCGGTAAATAATTGTAATGAAAATAAAGAAAATTGTCTCAAAACTTCTCAAGAAATGACCATTTTTCGCAAACAGAAATCGTAAATGCATAATCCCCTCATTTTTAAATATCCACGAATGATAATAATAATTATACCCAAATCCTAACAAAGTTGTATTTATTCAGGTTTCTGCAGTTTAGTCCTGTTTAAAAATCTGTTTGGCACATAAATCTTCAGAAGGCATATCAGCCAATGGATTAAGGTGCGTGCCTGATAAGCTAAAAGTCCCTGATGGTTCAAACCCTTCTCGACCTAATTTTTTTTCTTTTGTCGAAGAAATGTCCCTGGAATATCCTTGCGACCTCCTAGGGATATCCTTTCTTCGTTCTTGGTACATCCCAGGGACGTACCAGACGGAAATCCCTTGAATGCTTTTTTTGTCAGCCAGCTGATGTCCCTGGGACGTCCCTAGTATGTACTCTGTCCCGACAAAGGATATCTCTGGTATGTCCTTGTATAAAATTAGGGACGTCCCTGGGAAGTCCCTAGGATGTACTTGTGTTGTTAGGACGACAAACGGCGACGGCTTGGCAGCCATATCGCCGACAATCGCACCGAGTCGGCCGCCCCACAAAAGTCAAAGGAAAATATTTGCACTCCAAGTTTCGGCAATACATAGGTCGGATCAATGTTCGGAAGCAATGTTCCGCATTTTTCATGTGATAAATATCAGTATAATTTCAATAATAAAAATTTCGAAAATTGTACATAGCTCTGACAAGAAAATGATTTCCGACAGTGAATTATATAGTTTGATTTTGTAAATCGACCTAATGAAATATGAAATTCCACTCAAACAGACCCATTTAGATTCAGTTCTAGGGTAAAATACACTAAGGTGACAACACTGGTCCGGGTTCGTGAATTTCAATCAAATTTATGAGCAGCTTATATATTGATATCCGCTGACCAGTTTATTCCACAATCGCCAAAAATGGAAGCACATATTGTTGAGACATACAATTTTGTGATTCACTCCAATTCGATTTCTATAAACTTTTTTCATGATCTCACGTCCGTGATGCGCTCGTTAGAAGCACATCCAGTACAACTATTACTAACAAATTCGAATTTACCGCCATTCGTGAATTAAAAAATGAGTGATAAATGTTTGCTATTGCCTCCGACAACCTTGAACGTGCAAAGGCATTCTTGAACAAATAACAAACTTTTCACATTTTGAGCTCCATCTAATGGTACATCATCCAGTTCGCGCAAAACGTACTAGATCAGATGCTTTTAGAGCCGACTGCTGCGACGGTACCTCCATCTAGCAGAGAGTACCTGAACTACGATATTCAAGTTTTCTACCATCTAATTTAGAGAAGATACTATCCATACAAGATATATAGGCCTATTGTTTACATAAATTGAATATAAAAAAGGCTTTCATCTAAATGGTTACATTTCAAGAGCTGAAATTCTAGTGTGGGTTGCCCAAAATAATAACGCAGGGTATGAGTGAATATAACGTTATTCTGAGACACAAAATTTTACAATATTTACATCTTTTTGATCTTCTGCAGCTTTCTTAATCGAACGAAATTTGCCTTCAAAACTATCCAAACCCGAGTCGGAACTTTCGTCTTTACGATGATTCAATCTATTTGGCAATCGGACTTTTAATAACGCCGAAAGTCATTTCATAGTAGAGGTCTGCATTCCAGCCATTGTGAAATGACCTTGGTTACGCCCCTCTTAAAGAGTCCCTCTAACTATACTCTAGCTCATTTATTCGAGTACCCAAGGAAAAATATGTTGTGATATTTTTATACCTTCTCTGTTTGGTATCTGTATAAGATTGGTGAGGAAGAAAGCTGAAGCGACGGCTCTTCTTTTTCTAAAACTAAATAACGTTTATTTTCGTCTTCTATTTCCGATGCATCCGCCTGCCACTAATAGAACTGGCATATTTTTGCATCGTAATGCGTCTAGCCGGATATACGAGGGTCATACGATACGTTCCACACTAACCTACCTCGACGTATACAGGGAGTCCGTAAATGAGAAAGAAACAATTCTGGGAGCGTTTCTACTTGTAAAGTCGATACATCAAGCGAAACATCACAGTCATCGAAAATTCCAAAATCATCACTACTGTCAAGCACATCATACTTATACGTGCTTATACTGAATAAACTTCGCTACTTACCAACTTACTCTCTTACTTATACATTTCATATCAAAGGGGCACGCGAGATTTTCGCGAAACTATTCGCTGTAACGAAGAGAAATGCCTAAATCTTTCGAACCTTTCCCATCACGTGATGTGTTGAGATTTTTGTTTATTGATGATTATTTTTCGCAATAAAATTGTGGAGGCTGAGTTTGGTCAGGGGGTTTTATTCAGGTCCACTAATAGCCTGGCGTCAGCCCACTGTGGTCATTTGTATAGTGATTTAGGCTTTCTAGGATGTTTTTCCTTCCTCTCGAGACCCCGAGCAGAGTATATAATCTCTTTCTCGTAAGAGGTTATACTGTGCCCCGAGGATCTCGCTATGCGTCCATAATGTATCACGTGATTCACTGTGACCAATCTGACAATGAGGTTTGGGAATGGTTCGAAAACTTTAGGCTCTAGTTACCCAAGGTCATCACCTGATGTTGCGAATATGGAGATAATGTTTCATCTGGGTCCCCTTTTTTGACTCAACAGTTCAAGTCATTGTATACTATTTTGTGCTTGAAGATTACCTATAATTATGTTTAACGGACTGACATCTTTACAAACACCGAGCTCTGAATGAATAGGTTGATCTATTGGAGAACAGTTCATTTTTTTATCAGTTTTTTTTTCATTTTGAAAATAGTGTGCTAGCATGTGCTCTGTTGACGCCGATAGTGATCCACTATTTCAAGGACAAATTGTATAATGTATTATGTATCGTAGTCTTAATTGTGAAAATGAAAAACCATCATGTGAATTGCAGGAAATTCTTCGTCAGAATGTAAACTTGATGAGTGGAAATTTAGCTATATTTTCATCATGAAATTATATCAAGGTTTTTACACCACCGAAATTGTCAACATATTGATGTTGAGGAAGACTTTTCAATGATCAATATTCTCTTCTATTCTACAGAATCGAGTTCCATTAGCGACACTCGTTCTGATACGTGCATAACGAAAGTCTTGGTTGTTTGGATTCTTGCCACAAAAGGTGGCTATTCCGAAGTACCGTAATATTCATTTCAAGTCGGCGAACCAAACGAAACTATGCAACAATGAAGAGGCAAAAACCGCGAATAAAGAAGATCTCGAGTATACCAATCGAACGATCTTTTGTTTAAACGTTCAAGCGAATCCGAAGTGCAACAATGATTGTCGGAAGGAAATCAAAAGACTGCATGGGGCATGGGCCGGAAAAACAAAGTGCATCCATTAAAATGTTGAAGTGTGGAGACGGTTAATGCTCAAAAAGGGTTTTAGTTCAACTACTTGCATCATTCATTCATTCATTGTTTGTGATTATGATGATGTTAAATAAAACTACACTACTTCGATGAACTCGCTGGTTCTAATTTCATCAAACATTTTCAAATGTTTCAACAACGGATATATTGAAAATATGATGGTCAGATCTTGAACAATCATGACTTGAGAAAGCTTGAGGTATGGTCGAATTTTTAGACCAATCGAAATGATTCTAGCTATGATGGTGGTTAATTCGATTTCGTATCCTGCCTAAGCATTAACACATTTTGTGGTGTGCAAATATCGAATATATTTTTTATGTTTCGGATTTTCATCGCGGCCCAACCATTTTAATAATCCATTTTTTTGTGGTCCAAGATTCAGAATTCTGATCACCCTGTATCTGTTCCGATCAAATATCAGTAAATATTTAATCAAAAGTTGAGATAGGAACATATAAGCCGTTTTGGCCGATAATGAATAGTTTCGACACGAACAAACAAACAAATATAGTTGAAACATCTCGATTTTTGACACCCTATATCTCTGTAATCATTCGCGATAGACCCCAAGTGTGATCTATCGATGAAATCAGCTCTTCAGGGAGAATCTAAAAATACAATAAAATACAAGGTATTCTATTTGTAACGATAAAGTTTTTGCTACTTTTTGATAGAAACGGCGACACTATACATTGATGAAAATATTTTAAATGAAGAGAACGTATTCTAAAATACAGGCATGCATATTTTCATGGATTTCTCCCGACTGATTCTCGTTATAGAGATAGTGTAAGCTCGTTGTGACATACCCTGTATAGCAGCTAAGATTCTGTATATGGATAGAATATTTTCATTGAGCTTTTAACCTATCTCAAATCGTTTTGCTAACTATAGTGTGTATTGTCGCAAATTAATGATTATGAAACACGAATAAAATGGGGGCTAACAATTTTTCATTTTCCACCAGATGGCGCTATACTGAGACGCTGGTATTGCGTTGTTAGAACTGATGAATATTACTTCTTTTTTTCTTGTCAATCGGCCTTCTCTTAAGAAATTCTCTTCTCCGTCAATGTAAGCATTGTTTGTAAAGTTCCACAGTGATAGTAGAAAAACTCGTAATTAAAGTTTTTGTATTTGTTCAAAAAGGCCACAAATCAAATATTTTCGATAACAACAGGCCACAGCCGGTAAAATTTAGGGATTTTCGACTTAGACATTGACCTCACGCTCTAGTAACGCTTATTGGTGAGACCGAAGATGTTATTCGTCATTGCTATTGGTGATCACCATTCTCTCCAGATTCGGTACCTATCGATTATTTTTCCTTCGAGTGAAGTGACCGGCTGACTTGTTTCATGTAGTTTTCTCTTGTTTCCAGTCAAACGTCGAGGATCATCATATCGAATTTGGGGCCGCACGTGAGGTTCGAAGACATCGAGCACCTTCTTACCGAACAAGGGAGGGTGGTGTCATGCGACAAATTGACTTCCAAAGACCCCGCCACACAGACGGTGGCTGTAACATATGAAACGACAGAGCAGGCGCAACAGTAAGTTCCTAAAAAGGAATATTCTCAGATATAAATACAGTGGGTCCCACTTACCATGCTCACCATGGGTATCTTTTTAACGGTGAGAGATACGAAGTCGGTTAAATGACACCAAATGTGGAGTTTGTCAAGGCCAACTATAATGTGAAAAAATATTTTGATAAAATCTATTCGTTTTTGTTTTATACGCAAAAAACAGATTTTGATCATTTTCATGTCTCCTCCGTAACTTCTTCATTTATGAAAATATTCAAATAGGAATTTCACATTCTCATGGCAGTTTTTTAAAGTGATTTCGAAAAAAATATGAAATATATACCAACACTTCTAGAATTTGAGATATCAGCACCAACTTTAGTTTTTCAAATGTAGCTCATAGCTCACTATGACTTAGTTACAAATAACTTTTTTTTCTCTTACAGATGATATGTCGCAGTTATAGTTTTGCGTTTATAACAACGGAGATATCGTCATTTATACAAAAACAAAAAATTATTTGGAAGCCGCCATCTTGAATTTATTAATTTTAACAAAAATATCATGATCTCCGACCTCAAAAACCCCCACTCACCAATTTTGAATGGAATCGGACCAAATCTTGTCCGCCATCTTGGAGCAGCATTTTTTTTAATTTCAACAATAATTCCATAACGTATTGTCACCGAAATTATGAACACCTGCCAAATTTCAAGTTAATCGGAGTTATGGAATTTGTGTTGAAATTAAAAAAAATGGCTGCTTCAAGATGGCGGACAAGATTTGGTCCGATTCCATTCAAAATTGGTAAGTGGGGGTTTTTGAGGTCGGAGATCATGATTTTTTTTGTTAAAATTTATAAATTCAAGATGACGTCTTTCAAATAATTTTTTGTTTTTGTATAAATGACGATAACTCCGTTGTTATCAACACAAAACTATTACTGCGACATATCATCTGTGAGAGAAAAAAAAGTTATTTGTAACTAAGTCATAGTGAGCTATGACCTACATTTGAAAAACTGATATTGGTGCTGATATCTCAAATTCTAGAAGAGTTGGTATAAATTTCATATTTTTTTCGAAATCACTTTAAAAAACTGCCATGAGAATGTGAAATTCCTATTTGAATATTTTCATAAATGAAGAAGTTACGGAGGAGACATGAAAATGATCTGTTTTTTGCGTATAAAACAGAAACGAATAGATTTTATCAAAATATTTTTTCACATTATAGTTTGCCTTGACAAACTCCACATTTGGTGTCATTTAACCGACTTCGTATCTCTCACCGTTAAAAAGATACCCATGGTGAGCATGGTAAGTGGGACACACTGTATACCGTGTGTCAACGAATCTATTAGACAAGTCATAACTTCTAGACCATTAGGTGTATCAAAATGAGATTTGATATAGGGAAATGGTATATGAAAAGTAGAGTTTTCACATATTTTTCACTTCCCGGTCACTTCCGGTTTCACCGGAAATGGTTCCGGTACTAAATTTTTAAATGGAACACTCTGTATATTGTAACATTTTTGGATTTCTGAGACAATTCTAGATCAGAATGTGATATTTTCGAAAGTTTTTATGCCTACTTAATTTTTTCGAAGTCACTTTTGAAATTACATCTAGGTGGCCATGATTTGAAGTAAACTAATCTTAGGACCTCAGGTGATATCAGAAAATTACAATCGCGAAGTTTTAGTGACAAGTATGATAGATATGTCTGTAGGTTAATCGAGGAGGTGGTACATTCATTTTACTTGGTTCTTTGATATTGATAGAACATGGTATTCACTACTGAAAACTGAACATGAAAATGGTAGATTGAAGATCAATTAATGAAAACATCCTGTAACTCATTTGTAGACTAAAATCACTCATTCATATGCCAACATCAGTATGACATTGAAAAGTGTCAAACTATACGCAGCAAAAATTTCAAAGAAAAATAATATGCATTTACATGTTGAGAACGGGAGCAGAATCGGTCCCGAAACGTCCAAAGATAAGTACAAATTCGATATTTTTTCAATATATCTATATTTCTTTCCTTCAAAAATTTTTTCAAACAAATTGTCACTGACAAGCTACTGGATTTTTCTTTTAGACTCCCTGATAGAAAAATTTGTTAAACGCAGTGACATTTTGGGGCAAATCATCTGATTTGTCCCTCTACAAATATATTGAAATAATACGAATACTTTTATTTTATAGAAACGAGGAGAGAAAATCCCAAAGAACCAAGTAAAATGAATGATAGATATGAATAAAACAAGTTGGCAAAATTACATTTTCGTGTCTAACTATTATTTTTCGAATGGCGACCATTTTTTGACAAGCACTTTCCGAAAAAAGGATATTTTGACCAATCTAACGATACTACTTTATTTGCTATTGGATCAACAAATTTAACAAAATTAACAAGAAGACTTAATCGAAATAACTGTAAAATATTATGCATCATGCCTATCCTCGGCACACTTGACAGAAGTAAATAAATTATTATGAGGTATTTTCGTCAGTAATATTTAATTCAAGTTCTTGTACATTTCAATGGCTAAAAACTGAATATTTTCAGTTTTTCATATCGAATTATGTAAATTTTGCAATTTTACAACTCATTTTATTCCATTCAATAGTCGTTGTGTGCATTTTTATGCCTGAGGAATGGGTCAGTGTATATTCACAGGTTCTTACTTTATTCATGTACCTATTTATTTGTTTGAGACATGTTTCCTTGCACCCTGTATGTGGATTCATATATTTCAATATTTCTATTGTTTTGATGTTATGATTCACCCACGTTGTGAAGTAATAATATGAGACACAAATCATTATTATGAGATATGTAATCAGTTTTTGTTGAACTTCTTCATTGAACTAGTGCAGACACGGAAAGCAGAACAGTAGCGTATCACTGAAGCGATACATTTTTCATTTATGAAGCCATTTTCACGATGTTTTCCAAATGTAGGAGGAGAAAAGGTGGATTTTGAGCTAAACTGCGTCAATTTTTTTGAAATACCAGGTCTACTAGATCAAATTCAGAGGCAGACATATCCAGAGGCAGACAAATCCAGAACCCATAGGCCTTGGTTTTGAAAAAAAATGGACGCCACTTAGCTCCAAAATTCACCTTCTCCCCCTCTCTCTGTTATTCGCGCTAGAAAATGAGCGTACGCCATTTACTGGAGTACTTGAAAACTGTCAAACCGTCCTGTTCACTTTGTTTTCATTGGTTCGCATTTGTTTTTTGTTCATGCTTATTGGTTCTAGATCTAGTTATTGCCATCAGACGGGACGACGTGTTATAATAAGAGTGAATTCAAAGATATCGGCGTAGTGTTTTACAAAACATTCTTACCGTTTTATACAGAGTGACCCATTTGAAATCGAGACTGCTCAGTTCATTGTACCAGTATATCATCTGACGAAGCTACTGTGTTAGCGAAACATGTCGTGTGTTTAAGAATTCTGTGTAAATCTTATCGTTTGTATAACGGCCCAGTCAATTCGAAATTTGATTTCGAATAATTCTGTTTGTCGTTTTCAGGGCGGCGAACGCGCTCAACGGCGTCGAGATCGAAGGCAAGGCGGTGAAGGTGGAACTGGCGGTGGAGAAACGGGGGCGGCGAGGGCCTCGAGGGCCGGGCGGCGGCGGCGGCTTCGGCGGCCTGCCCGGACCCAGCAGGCAGACGGACTTCCCGCTCAGGATACTCGTGCAAAGCGATATGGTGAGTTGTGCTTGGGCCTGGACTCCGGCCGTGGGCCCACCATGTACTCACGGCGTCGGAGTGGGGGTAGCCTCAGGTGACTCCAGACACCACTGGTTAAAAGCTTGAGGTCCTCACTCTTGTCATGGTAGCGGTACGTGTGAAAGGCCGCGAACTTACACCCATCAAACGGGACCAGAGGATTCTGGTCGACATAGGTAGCTGGGCTTGCTCAGCGAAAAATGGAACTTTGGTGTACCTTGTGCCTCAGTTCGACAGGGAGAGGGCAGCCCCAAGCGATCCTATCGCCAGACATCATAGGTAAAGCCGGGTCCTCTCCTGTAAACGAGGTAGAGGAACGTGTAAAAGTCCTCGAACGATCACTCATTCAACGGGACGAGAGGATTCTTGTCAACATGAGTAGCAATTAGGCGAAAGCCTTTTGCGACGGCGACCCATCAAACGTAACAAGAGGAATCTTGTTGACATGGGTACCTGGGGTGATGAGGATATCCCCATCAGGCCGTACATACGGCCTGGTGCCTCACCAATTGGGTTGGACTCCAGGGGGCAGCGGTTTCCAAAAAACACCACCGGACTACGGTAGAGGAGGTAAAGGAGAATCCCACTATGGGTCAAGTGGGAGGAAATCTTGCCTGCCTCGGCGGGTGAGCAGCGTTTCTGCTCGGGCACTGACACTGCAGAGCCAGTAGTCTATTGTATTAGACGGCCTCACCATTGGTATAATAAAATGGTAGCAGGAGAACATGCCGTTACATAACGGAGATGGCTCTAGCGCGCTGATTTGGAGTATCCAAATCCTCCATTTCTCTCTGGGGTGACTGCGTCGGTAAAGTCGAAAGATACAGGCCGGCAGTCATCCCCTATTGGAGTCTTGTGAGAGTGGGGAGAAATCCCACTTGTTGCTACCCCGGCAACTTGGTCCTGGACCTCTGATTTATTATTGGGCCTGGACTCATCCAATAACTATACATATACAGTGTGGAGACTTTAACTGGAATAAATTCGTTAGTGGAAAGGTGAATATTTTTTTTAAAAATTCCCGGCATACGTCAACGATTTGATGTATTTACTTACCTTTTGCAAGCAATATCGTGAATATATCCCTCCAGGGGTAGCTGAAACCATCCTCAACATGATTTTTTCAAATGTAACCCCATAGTTTGTGACCCCTCATCGGAAAGCTAGTGGAAGCCAGCGTACTAGTCAAATTTCAGTTTCTCATACTTTGAGGTTGCATAAAAGTGAAATGTAATTTTAAAATTCTTTTTTTTTTTTCAACGTATCAATCGCTCAAGATGTGTGTTGAACAATTGATGGCAATTACAAAGTAATGACCATTCAAAAAGGTTGACATTGGTTGTTCATTATAAATCAGCCTGCATACCATAACCGCTACACATTATCATGTATGAGTCCCCATATTTCCCAAACTTCCTTTCTCTCACTGACTCAGCCGCCGCAATATCAAAATATTCCTTGACAACGTGGTATCTCGTGTGTTTTGATAAATGATCCTTGAATGTATGCTCGTAGCTGTTTATTTTTCCATAATTTTTCAGGTAGGCGCTATTATTGGCAGACAGGGTTCAACGATAAGACAAATTACACAACAGACTAGGGCGCGAGTCGATGTACATAGGAAAGACAATGTAGGTTCATTAGAAAAGGCCATCACCATTTACGGCAATCCAGAAAACTGTACGAACGCCTGCAAGAAGATCCTCGAAGTGATGCAACAAGAGGCCAATAACACGAATAAAGGGTGAGTTCTTAGACTTTGGCTGTATATCCTTTGACAAGAGGCCACAAAACTAGAAGAAAAAGAAGAAGTTCTTAGACTAAATTACAATAAAATAGAGGGCATTAGATAGAGAACTTTGATTGATAGATTGTATTTATCACTCCAAGAAACATATCTGTTTATTATTTATAGGGATCCATCATTTATTGCTATTAGCAACATTGAATTAGAACTGTTCTGTGATACAACATGCGTCGTAAAAAAGGAAAAATATTCAGGAAGTAAGTATACAAATTTTCCATGAAACGTATTTTTTTTTCTTGTTGCGGGCAAGAGGCGGGTGCCTAGTCGATGCAGAGCCCCTAGGCAGTTGCCTAATCCGTCTAATGGATAATCCGGCCCTGATCATCGGCAAGGGCGGCAGCACGATCAAGCTAATAATGCAGGAAATGGACACGAAGATCACTGTGTCAAGCAACACCTGCATCAACTCATTAAACTTGAAGCGTGTCATCACGGCAAAAGGCAAATTCCGAAAACATCGGTAAAACTGCATTTATCATGCGATGGTTTTTTTTTTCGAAGCATTTTTTTGGTTCTTACGTATTTTTGTCTGAAAAACACGAATTTGATGATGAAAATTTGAACAAACCATTATTCATTATGAAGTTACAATTTTCATCTGCTTTTCCGCCTGTTTTCTGGATCGCATTTAGAACAATTGGCCCTTTTTTTTCATCATTGGACAATTAATATATATCACAATGTACGACACATTTTTTCTAATATATGAGTCAACTAGAAACTTAATTTTCTTGTGATTTCTCCATATTTAGTGAAAAAAAGCAAGAATATCATTTGAATTAATGGCGTGTGTAATGTCATTCAAAAGCAATCTGTTGACATGTGACATCTCGTATTTGGATTGACTTGATTAAATAGCCGTCATCTGATATGCTTGTTCACTAAATATGAAAAACTCGACATAAAAATCATATTTCCTGTTGAATTTTCTATATATAAATGTGTCATTGAAGTACATCATGAGTATATAAAGTGTCCAATGACAAAATAAAAAGAACAAATACCTGTAAATGCATCCAACACAAGGGGAAAAAGAAGGCGAAATTTCGAACTTTTTCTTGAAATATCTCGTTAAATAGTGGTTTGTACAGATTTTCATTATCAAATTCGTGTTTCTCAGACAAAAATACGTAAGTACCGAAAAAAATTTCGAAAAAAAAACATTGCGTAATAAATTCAGTTTTACCTAAAAATCTTCCCGTTCACAAAATTGTTTTCGAATTGAAACGTAATATAATAGTAGATTCAATGAGTCTGAATGTTGGTTCCATCAAATCTTAATTGAAAACACACTCGATTTCAGAGAGATATCCCTGAAGATCCTCGCGCACAACAACCTGATAGGGCGCATTATCGGCAAGGGCGGCAACACGATCAAGCGCATCATGCAGGAAACGGACACGAAGATCACCGTGTCGAGCATCAATGACATCAACTCCTTCAACTTGGAGCGCATCATCACGGCGAAGGGCACCATCGAGAACATGAGCCGGGCTGAGGGGCAGATCAGCTCGAAGCTCAGGCAGAGCTACGAGAACGATCTGCAAGCGATGGCGCCGCAGACGATGATGTTCCCCGGGTTGCATCCGATGGCGATGATGGCCACAGCAGGTGAGTACGAAGGATATTTATATTTTCTGTTTCGAACTTCAGAAATGGACCTCTGTCAGTGAAAAATGTTATTCCATTAATTAAGCCTAAGTAGTTCACTGTCACAAGCTGTTTTTTCTTCAGAGCTCTGCAGGGAGATTCTATTTCACGAATCTAGTCGAATCGGCCATCTTTATTCGATATTTGGTATCCTGTTTCTCGAATGATAGCTCAAGAAGAGTCGAATTGATGCGTTTTGTCAATTTGTCCTTACCTATCACTGAATGTTTCTTTTCATCTTCATATCAAGTTGAGGTTAGATCATCTTGTTTATGTGAAAGCACAGCTCTGAAAGTGTGTCATCAACTTATTGATAAATATAATATATGATTCATTTTCGATGTCCTTCAAACTCAGAGATGCCCACTGGAAAATGTTAATAACATTTTTAGAACAGTACAGAACATGGCCACGGCATCTTTGACTTATCCATTAAGTGGGGTCTCAATGGTTATATCAGAAGAGGAACCAACCTTTTGCTCGATCTAATTAGCTCAAGAAATCTTTTTTCAGGTAAAGAAAAGGGATTATGTACTTATGTTTCATAGTTCTTGTCGTCGACGAATCAGATCCAAAATTCTTTGCCTATCTTTAGCTGCTAAAATACCATCTGGATGAATTATCATTAAAATTCTTATTTTATTGTGTTGATATTGAAAGAATTGAGATTTATAGAAACAATATAACCACTATAACCTCAAATTTTAGCCTCGGTGCTCGTTTCATCGAATCAAAATCTCATCCCATCACGCCAAAAAGCCGACCAATTCCGAAGTCGAATTTGATCGCGACTTGTTATAAATTTGGCAGCGTCGAAAAATGTGGTTATGCTCACATTGGTTGTTGAGGAACAAAGAGGAATATATCAACAAATATCACTATTGTCACGTGGGACAGTGTATGACGTCATCGAGAGCTGATATTTTTTGAAAGTGCTGACTAGGCGATTCGAAGGAACGACCCTGTATTTCATGTTTGTTGGGCTGATTCATTATGGGTTATGTAAGGATTAACGGCTGGAGCGGATGAGCTGGTATGGAATTTGGGATGATAAGCGGCGAGTCAGTATGCTAAACGCGTTCAGTCAGTGATAAACTGTAATTCCTATTTTGCTATTCAATATATTTGTTCATTTAAGTTCCGGGTTTTTCTGAGTGTTAGTTCACTTCTGTAGTTTATACGATTTTATTCATCAGAAATAAGTATTTATGATGATTTAAAATGAGGAATGATTGCATTAGATACTATTTATACTCGGAATGATCAATATAAAATAGGTATGTGGCGTGAACTCCTGTGTACAGAACAATCCCATTTTATAGACGTTCTATGCTTCAATACACCATATCGGGTGATAACGAAAACGTTCAGTTGTTCTTCATGTTAGACTTTTGATAGTTGTATTGAGGAAACTGGTATTTAGAACCCATGTTCTCCATGTTTTAACGGAAATTGATCTAGATCAAGAATTTTCAAATGAAATTCTGTAGATATTTTTACGTCATTCGATAGAGCAAAGAAATCCCTTGTCAATGAAATATCATAACAAACGAAGCACTGATTAGTTTCTGCTAAAACATGTGATAATTTTGATTCATCGCCAGTTTGTAGTCCTTTTAGTAATTATTTCAAATGATATATTTCACTTAAAACATACCTTGATCAATGACAAATGGAGAAAATATCAAATCTTCAAAAACTGCAATAATGGTAATGAAACCCAACGTCGCTTTATGATTCTTAAATTAATGAAATATGTTTTGAACATACTTCTGCAAATCAATTGTTACTGTAACTATCCGGATATATGAGACTTCAGACTTTTTTCATGGTTCAATATATTTTTGAAGAGCCATAAGCAAGCTCACACTAGAGTTCCTAAATGTACTTGACACAGCTGTTTTGACGTTTTTTGTATATTAGAGTATACGGACACTAGACAAGCAGTGACAATCAAACATAACCACAAACGATTTTGAGGCAAATCATATGTTTTGCTAGAGAAGATGCGAGGATCCGTTATCTAAGCGAAAAACATATTCTTATCCTTCTCTAGCAAAACATATGATTTGCTTCAAAATCGTTTGTGGTTATGTTTGATTGTCACTGCTTTTCATAGTGTCCGAACTCTAATATGAAAAAAACGTCAAAATAGCAGTGTCAAGTACATTTAGGAACTCTAGCTCACACCACACCACTCTTGTCCACCGTTGACCACTTAGATGCCTAAACAACAATCCTCTATCGTTCCCAGGCATCGGCTACGGCTCCCGAGGCCTCTACAGCGGCCAGGCGCCCTACCCGGGCATGTACCCGGCGGGCGGCTCCTCTCAATCGGCGGGCGGGCCGGGCGGTGCGGGCGGCGCCGACGCTCAGGAGACCACCTTCCTCTACATCCCGAACAACGCGGTGGGCGCCATCATCGGCACCAAGGGCTCGCACATCCGGAACATCATAAGGTTCTCGGGCGCTTCGGTCAAGATCGCGCCCGTCGACGAGACGAAGCCGCAGGAGGCGCAGAACGAGAGGCGCGTGACGATAGTGGGATCGCCGGAGGCGCAGTGGAAGGTGAGATCTCAAACTAAATAACATTCATTCATAGACACCGCGATTCGTTCATAAATCATCGAAAAGTATATGTCAACAATGCTCAAACGCCACACACGGATGAAGGAATGAAATCACGAATGGTGGGGATAACAAACACTTGTACATTGGCGGGTAACTATATAACAATAGATAGACACCACGGTTCATTCATAAATCAATGAAACGTATATGTGAGATGTTTATAATAATATGGTGTTCTTACTCAAGGCTCGCCATGGTTACATTGTTCAAAAACTGACGACACTTAAGACAAGAAATACAGGAATGGTGTAAGTAGGTTCATTTTTGATAGTGTTTAATAAAATCCTGATTATTGAGTTTCTATTTCCAATTCAAAGAAAATTCGTGGCAGTGACATCTATTAGAATAAGTTGTAATAAGAATCTCATTCATGAATCATTAAACAGTATACGACAACAATCCTAAAACGTCAGACACGCTTAAATGAATGAATGAATGGTGGGGATACTGCATCCCGAATAATGTGGTGGGGGCCATCATTGGCACCAAACACAGTGGAAGGTGAGACTTCAAACTGTATAACGATTATTGATAGACACTGGAATTCGTTCATAAATCATTAAATAGTATACGCCGTCAATCCAAACCGCCAAATACGGATAAAAGAATGAAATCGCGACCTCAAATTGAATAATAATATCAATAGGAGAGAAAATCCCAAATAATTTAGCAAAATGAAAATATCGATTTCATCAAAAAGTATAAGCCAACATTCCTAAATGATAAACACGGATGAAACAATGTAATCGTGAATGGTGGGGATAATAACAGATACTTGAACCTTTGCGGGTGACTAAATATCAATACATAGACACGGAAATCCATTCATGAATCATTAAAAAGTATGCAGCATGCAGAAAAAATAATGTTCTGCACGCCGAATGATTGAAAAATTGCAAAAACAAAGGAAGTCCTCAAAAATGAAGGGAAGAAAACCAACATGAGAACAAAACTTTTGAATGTAAGTGATTTGAATATTGATCTTTACATGGGACATTATTCTTCAACTCATCAACTATTATGTTTAGAACTAGTTTTGAACAATGTAGTATTGCTCCTCTGCATTGAACTTTGTAAATAAAGATGTTTCTTTTTCAAAACATTCTCAAGAAATAAAATAATTTTCTGAAGTTGGTACCTCCTTAGCAAAGTCTAACTTCCTTCCTAGTATTCTCTCTTCTCAAACTGTCATTCCAACTTCAAGGGAATTTCCAGAGAAACAAAAATTCGGGAAAAGAGGGAAACTGAAAAACAAAATAATAATGTTCAGCGACCAAAGGGCACAATTTTGCGGGTTCTGCTAAAATAACTGACTTAGGGCACATTTTTCTTTTCAAACCATGAATATTAATGAAGTATATAATGAAAAAATAACTAATACAGCTATTATTTGAGATGCCACATCTCAAAAACTTAACATATATCGTTGTTTGTTGTTTTGGGAGTGACACCTCAGAAAATTGGAATGAATATGAGAAGAAAATATAATTGGAGGAATTGTTCAAGTAAGCTTGTGACAATCTGACTCTGAACTAACAGGAACGTTTTTTTTTTACGTTGAATGAAGTACACCAGAGGAAAATTCATCACCATTAAGAAATTTGCTGAAAGTTTATAATTTTGACCTATTACGATATTGTTCTCAATGTGTGCGATTTGAGGTCTTTGTAAGTCAAACTTCAAAAAATCAAATATCCCTTCTAAGATATGGTCAATTCGAATACATTTGACGAGTGACTTCCCCATTTCCAGGCCCAGTACCTGATCTTCGAGAAGATGCGCGAAGAGGGCTTCGTCGCCGGCTCCGATGACGTCCGGCTCACCGTCGAGATGATGGTGCCCAGCCAGCAGGTGGGCAGGATCATCGGCAAGGGGGGGCAGAACGTGCGGGAGCTGCAGCGCGTGACGGGCAGCGTGATCAAGCTGCCCGAGCAAGGGGCGACGCCGGTCGAGGACGAGACGACGGTGCACATCATAGGGCCGTTCTTCAGCGTTCAGGTGAGTGGGAATGGGGCGTAACACGCGGGTCCTCTCCTGTAAACGGAGCGAGAGGAACGTGTAAAAGTCCTCGAACGATCACTCATTCAACGGGACTAGTGGATTCTTGTCGACATGAGTAGCAATCAGGCGAAAGCCTCTTGCGACGGCGACCCATCAAACGTAACAAGAGGAATCTTGTTGACATGGGTACCTGGGGTGATGAGGATAGCCCTAGGGTCCCTTGATGGAAATTGACGTTAAAGTCATCTTGTTGTTGTTGTTGTTGTTCTTTATTACCCCAAGAAACAAATTTGTTTATAATAGGGATACATAAACATATGATATATATATATATATATATATATAAAAAACAATAAAAAAAAAAACTAATTAACAAGTTATGTCAATATAACATAATAATTAAAATAAAACCATTCCAAGTATTCAAATGAGAATAAATTGCTCCGTTTATTGTGTCATGAGTATATATTTTTTCATATTGACTTTGAATCTTGTTTCATCATCAATATGTTTCAAATCATAAGGTAATGAATTATATAAAATGATTCCGTTGTAGAATACTGATTGTTTGCCAATGATGGAGTTATATGGGTTTGCTATTAATGAATTCAACTGTCTCGTTGCATGAGTATGAATTGTATTTACTTCAGTAAAGTTCAAGTTGGATATTTTTATTTTTTTTCTCACAAAATGGATGAAAGAACAAATTTTCATTTTATATAAAGATGATAAATTCAACAGATGTTTTGGTTTGTAAAGATTAATAGTTGGTTCCAGGTAATGTAAATTGTAAATGCACTTAATTGTTTTATTTTGTAATTTCATTAATGGTTTCAAATGTGATATACTTGTGCTTCCCCAAATTGATATTAAATATTGTAATTTTGAGTAAATCAGACAGAAATATATATTCTTCAAATATCTAAGAGGAATGAAATCTCGAATTTTGTAACAGGGTACGGACAGATCCTCGTCGCCTCTCACTCTAAAGTGTTTGTGAAACATTTATATAGTTCCATCCTTATTTAATTCTGGGGATAAACACTAGATTTTTGACATTCGTTGTTTTTTAGGTTATTATGAGGTCACTCATACGTAATTTCCATATGGAATTCCTGATTCAACTATACCAATATATAGATGAACAATCCTCTAGTTTTAGAGTTTACTACTCCAGCATAATCTTTTCGAGGTAGTGAACATATGAATTGTACTGAAAGCTTAATATATTTCACCAAAAGAGACTGTGCTTAGACTGTACACCAGGGTTGACTGAATTGACTGAATGAATTTTGATTTCAAGCTGAGCAGTTGTTTATCTATAAGCTCAATGAGCTGAGCCTGTTGATTGAGAAATGGTGGAAACCCCGATGTGGGTATCTAAACTCTAAACTACTGTACTCATGTCATGTGTGCTAAATATATTTTCGGAAATCCAACTCGGAGAACAATTTATGATGTGACTAATACACACTGTGTATAAAACTTCGTCTAGGACGAAAAGTAGGCTGATGAAAGGGCACTGACATTGCAGAGCCAGTAGTCTGTTTTATCAGACGGCCTCACCATTGGTATAATAAAATGGTAGCAGGAGAATATGCCGTTACATAATGGAGATGGCTCTAGCGCGCTGATTTGGCGTATCCAAATCTTCCATTTCTCTCTGGGGTGTGCTGTCGGTATAAGTCAAGAGACAAGTGACCGGCAGTCATCCCCTAGGGGAGTCTTTGGAAGGGGGGGATGGGACTTGGTCTCACCCGTTGCTTCCCCGGCAACATTATCGATTGATCGATTGGGCGGTGCATTTGACCATTTCCGTTGAAAGCAAGGCGACTCAGTAAAATTTATTTTATTTCACTGATTTCGAAAATATTCATTCACCAAGGTAATAAATAATATCAGTATTACCCAGGGACCAAGAATATATTCCCAGGCTTCAGCGGTCCCGTGGTGATGATATTCTTTACTACCAAGGTGTATATTACATTTTTTTCACCACTGGCAATACATTTCAATCATTTTAGTTCAGTGAAACTGAAATATGAACCTATTGTCACTATGAAAGCACTTCTTTTCAATTCTAACTTGAATCTAGTTGCCAAGACCATGACAGCATATGACAAGTCATTATTGATAAATACCTACTAGATTCGAGTGCCATTTCTACGAATCTCGCATCAGAACAGTGAATTCCGGTTAATTAGAACAGAGGATGCCATTATTGACTAGTGGTTCATAAAATTACGAAAAACACCTTGGTAGTAAAAACGCACATTGCATCTTGAAGAGAAATAAATAATGGCAGGTTTGATAGCAAGTAGTGGAAAAACTTGTTTTCTTATTGGGGAGCTTGGGAAACTATACTTTAGGATGAAACAAAATCCAAGGTCTCTGCGTATATTATCAGAGATAGACATTCAAGAAAAAATTGAAAATCACAATAGGATTTAGTACCCTCTCAAGGGGTTGTATACCAAATTTACAAAAATATATATTTGATGCGGTCTGGACTTTGTGCTTCACAATACCAAAAAGAAAGAATACAGTGATATCAGGTCCGGGGATCCGTGATAAACTCTATTGAGGTGTCTCGCTTTCAAATGGTTAATTCTTACCTATTGCTATTTCAGATAAGAATAAAGTACATGGCATGCATATCAGAAATACTTTAAGCATTCGAGATTCAAAATTACGAAAAATACCTTGGTAGTAAAAACGCACATTGCATCTTGAAGAGAAATAAATAAGAAGGTCACTAGCTTACTGTTTTCCATTGAACATACAGTATTTTAATTCTCGCCTACTAGCTAGGTTTTCTTTAAGAACGATATTGGTATAAGTGAACTATTTTTCATGCAATATCATGAGGAATCAACCGTTGCATTTCGGGAGTAGGTGAAGTAAATAATGGAAAAAAAAATGTTGAGCGCCAAGTGATTTCTGAAAGTTTTATCAGTCTTTTAAAAACCACTAAAAAGACCCCAAGAATTCACCTGATGCAGGTTGAGCTCAGTAAAAACAAACGTATTCCAGGTGTGGGGGGTATATAATTGAATTCAAAATTCATTCTGGGACACCTAACTGAGAGGAATATATATAATTCTAATTATTATATCGATGAACGTGATAGTCAACATTCACTGAGCAGTTTGAATCAATAGTCCCACAAACTAGTTATTCACCAATATCGATCTCTCGTCATGACCCCGGTAAACCAATATAAAAATCCACTAGGTGGTACTCATCACTGTTCCGTCGAAATTGATTATGACTTCATCAGATTGTAGATGAGTATCTCTACGATTTCCTTACCCTCAACTAACCAGCGATTTTTCAGGCCATAAGTGAATATCACTCAGTATATCATTCATATTTTAGTTCACTCTATACATTATATTTGCTACGACACCGTGTGAAAACGTCTGATATCAGATAACTTGCCAGATAAGAATTTATCAGAAAAATAATGATAGTAAAGTACCGGTTCTCAAACAAGAAGAAAACACCTCCAAAGCAGATCACCCAAGCATTCAGAGACGAGAGACGTTTTGATTATGCTATCAACTTATAAATCCTTCTAAGTCATCAAGACAAATCACTTTCCATAAAATAATGACGTATATCCCAAAAATTTGTCTCATTCGGCGAACAATGCGAAGAAATCCGTAAAACAATAGTTATTGAATATTTCTCAGATCACCATCATTCTTGCCACAAATAAATTCTATTTCTACGGTACCGCGTACCTACCTCGGCCGTTACTCGATCGCACGTTTTTTTTTGCTTTTTGCGTCTCAGAAGAAAAGATAAAAACACGCTAGAAGCAAACAGGGTCGCCCGAGAATCACGATACCTACACTGAATTTTGGAATGAATGAAATTTGGTCACAGTATGTACTTTGAAAACACAATTTTTCGTTGTTTTTTTCAGTCTGCACAACGACGTATCCGTGCCATGGTCCTTCAGTCAGCCGTGCCTCCGCAGGGTAGACAGCGCCCGCCCAGACCCCAGAAAGAGCCCAGCCAATCAGAGGGCACCTCCTCCGAGCCACAACAGTAGTATTTGTTAAGGAAAACAACAACAAAACTAAAAAAAAAACGACACACAACAACACACTGCCTGCGCATGGGTTTTCGCATACCCTATTGAACTTGAGGAACGTCTCCGGAGACCCTTTCTACCGAACACAACACGAAAAGAAAAAGACTCCGTAGTTCGGAGGTCTTTTTGATGTTCAATTTTTTCGGTTCGATGGTTTTCTTTTTTTAGTTGAACGGTGGAAAAAGTCTGGGAGAACCATCCTGGAATACGGTATGCCTAAGAACCGCGTGCCTACTAAACTACAATCTACCTCAAAGAATCAAAATATATTAGATTTTTATAGCCACTGAAATTTTCCGTTATTTACACACAGACATACAACATGCTAAGTTTTCGCACCACTAACGTGGTTTAACCAAAGAATAAGTTTTTTTCGGTGGGACGCGACGACTAGGAGTTTGGATGCGACTATATCCACACGTCGCGTTCCCATTCGTTTTTGCTACAGGGTGGTTCAGATTCCACATTGAATATTTCGACCAAGATGTTCTCCCTACCGATAATTTAGAGTGATACATCTGGCTTGCTTTTTGAGAACATGAATTATTTTCCACCACAGCTGCAAATGCAACGAAATTCAGGGTGATCATCTTATTTGACAAGGACGTTTGTTTGAATCACTTTCGAGAAAAAATGTAACCCTCTATATTTGTTTGACTTTTCTCTGGAGTTCTGGAAAACCTCCTTCAATTCTGGGAAGAAGTAACTTCACAGATTTTCAATTACTATCTTCAAGAAATTGTTTCCGAGCAAATAGAAAATTATACACCTTATCAATACCTGCGGAGTAATTATTTCTTAGAATTGAACGAAGATTTAGAAAATAGTATTGAGGTGTTCATGTGAATTTCGTTAGACAGCTTTTTTTCTTGAAATTAGGGTGAAAAAATAAAGGCATATTATACAGGGCTAATTTTAGAGATACAGGGTGCTGTAGAGTCCGACCACGATAACTTTGGGACAGCACGTGGTCGCGTATGCATTGAATATGCATATGCGTTGCGTCACATGCTGTCCCAAAGTTAACGTGGTCGGACTCTAGTTTAAAAATCAGAATAGTTTTCTAAAAATTAATTGAAAATGGTTCAATTTCTCTCAGACAATTTGAAGTATCCGATTTTCTCTTCAAAATTCTCCATTTCCGACGATACAGTTACTGCCAATACTGCCGTCATTTCATCCAGTGGCGCGCCGGTTGTTGTAGGTTTTTTGTTTAATTTTGTTGAAAAAACGCATGATCCTCTTCGGGATATCTGACCAAAAAAAAGTTTTCATCATTTTCAGTGGTAGGAAATAACGAAAATGTTTTCTTCCTCCTGATGAAATAACTGTTTCAGCGACAGAATTATAACTAAGAAGTTCCCAATCTACTCACCAGCAGAAAAATATTTTTCATAGAAACTGCTACTGAATATGATGAAAAATGTCTATGAAGTTTGAAGGTTTTGAAGTTTAACCAAATTGAACAATGATTTGGAGAAATTGAAAATAATCGAAATTTCTTCAATGGCGTTGGAAAATATGGATGAAAATGTTACCAAATTTACCTGTAGCGCTACATATCCGGGATTCCTTTCTGGTCATGAATTCAACTATTCAAAGATGAAACAATATTCTTGAGTTATTGTGAAATAACAATGTTCATTCCTTTATTTCAATACCCTGTACTTTGAGAACTGAATAGTTGAAGACCATATGTCCCAACCCAAGTAATTGACAAATCACCAGGGCAATCACTTGTTGAGTATTGTCGGAACGATCTGGAAGCATATCTTGGTGGAAATATTCGATGTTGAATCTGACCCACCCTGTATAATATTGTAAACCGATGAACGACCATAACGAAGCCAGTCGACTTGACGAAGAATCTGCACTACATCAATACTAGGAGTTCCTTCTGAGTTAACGTGGCTGTTAAGATTTTTTACTATAATGAAAGTGTGAATGTGTTGAAGAGCTTTAATAACTTTTTTCGGACGAAGAATATAATATATATAATGTATAAGTTATTTTAGTGTATTGTGTTAGAGCTGAAGGATATGGACAGGATATCGGAGGTACTGTTCAGTTACGTTTATTAGATTTTTCTCATTTTCTATGTTGTACTTGATTGGGAAAGACGTTTTGCGAGACTGTATTGTTTCACAAGTTCGAGCTGAACTCTGAAGTCTGCAAAACATTTATCACCATGCATTTTTAATAAAGAATTTAAGCTCATTTCAATAATTAGGGATTAGCTTCCTTGTATTCATTTGTACTAAGTTTATTAAAATACCATGACATTTGGACGGAAGAAAACCTAGACTTCAGAACAGAAATCAGTCAATCAAATTTTCCGAAATAAAAATGTGAAATGCTATTAAAAGTTGCCAAACTGCCCAAGGGACTGATCAAAATGAAATATACCAATTAGTCGTTTGGCAATGTTTGGCCAGAACAGTGATTATACAAGGTATCCCATTCAAACAAAAAAATGAAGGAACGGCAGATACTCACATTCAAAATAAACTGGTATGATAAACGCTAACTATGTAGAATGTCGCTTCTCTGACGAAAATGTGTTTTTGAAAATCTGCTGTCTTCATCAGTCCTTGTCAAGGATCATCAATATCTGTTTTCAACAATTTCAACAAAATTATAATTTTTTCGAATGATTTAGTTCAATTTTCACCTAGCCAGTCTATTTGAGACTAGATATTTGCAGTTCCCATTCAAACCAGGCAAATCTGTATAGTAATCATGGGTTCTTGTAAATCATAAAAATATGATTGGTTGCCGGCGAATATTTCCTAGAAATTCGCAGGCTCTTCATCAAATGAAGAACCCAGCAAATTTTCTGTGACCTTTCAATATCTGTATCCGTATATCGTTCAGCTCTATTCGTGACTGTAATACACCTAAGACGAGGTTCCGCGATACCTAATCTTATATTTAAAGAAATTAAACAAAACATGGACAAAAACGTGCGCGCGTGAAAGTGATGTGAAAGAGACATTTTTTTAACTATTATATTATTGTTAGGCGATTTGTTGAAATAATGTTATTTTCTACCGAACGGGGGGTGCTGTGGGGGCCGCCCCGTGAAATGTATTATTTGTTGGTGTGAACCGGTCGCGGCTCCACGGAGACACGCCCCCTTTTGCGTGTGTGAGAGTGGTTGTTGTGAGAATTTAGATGATACGCCCACTGAGCGAGGACGGTCGCGTTTTTCGAGATTCCAAGCATCTCGCTTTTGATAGTACAAACTCGGAGAGTTAGATGGCGCATCGAGGGTGGTGGAACTGATGATTATTCGTGTAGGAGGTTGCTTCGTTCAGACAAGGCGGTGAGGGGAATTTATTGATGATGTCATTCCATCGATTGTCTCACTAATTTTGAAGTACACGTTCTTGATTGGTTGGAATATGAGAACATGGTGTTATCGATTTTGTATTCTACATCGGGAGTATAATAAAAGATGTAACGAAATGACTCATCATCAGCAGGCTATCATGAAGGTAATTGAATGTTCATATGCAGTAGTAAGTGATAACACTCAATACTAAACTTTAGCCAGAAGCTAATCACTATCGATTTGTATTATTATCATAAACTGTGACACCGATGACTATAATTTCCAACGATAACTGGACACGCAATTTTTACAATTTTAAATTCTTTAGTGCATTTTTGCGTTACGTGATATAATGAAAATACTGCTTTCTTCATGAAATAACCTCAACACATAGAAATCGTTTTATTGATGCTTATCAAAAATGCCCTGTCTTTTTCGAAACAAATTATGTTGCTTTAAAAAAAAACACGGCGACATTGTTTCTCAAAATCTGAAGAAATTATATTTTGATATTCCTCGACATTTTTGTTGGATTGCATACGAAAATTCCACTTTATAGTTATAGGAATCTACCGAATCGATCTCTATGTTCATAACTTCCTGCAAGTGAACTCACCAATTCAGTTGTAATCTAGAATATACAGGGTGATCCACGGTGGATGGCCTATTAGAAGTATCTGGAGAACGAAAAGACAGAACATTCTGTAAATTGGGATGCTCTGATAATTGAACATTCTCTGTCTAAAATATTTTCATCGATACAGTGTTGCGACTTCTATCAGACACAACTAGCAACTTTGTTATTTTAAATGGAGCACCCTGTATTTAATTGCGTTTTTAGATTCTTCCTGAAGAGCTTCCAATTAAATCCCAGTAGATAGTGAATCAAAAGTTAAGATAGGGACATGTAAGCCGTTTTGATCGATAATGAATAGTTTCGACACAAAAAAGTCTCAAAATAGGAAAATCTCGATTTTGAACACCCTATATCTCTGTAATCATTCCTGTTAGACCACATTGATGAAATCAGCTCTTCAGGAAAAATCTGAAAATGCGATAAAATACAGGGTGTTTCATTTGAAATAACAAAGTTGCTAGTTGTTTCTGATAGAAGTGGCAACACTGTACCGATGAAAATATTTCAGACGGATAGAGAATGTTCAATTATCAAAGCATCCCAATTTTCAGAATGTTCTGGCTTTTGGTTCTCCAGATACTTCTAATAGGCCATCCACCGTGGATCATCCTGTATTTCTATGAACTCAACATTCCATCTTGGATGGGATACGTCAGAAATTACCACTTCCTCACCGCATTTTCTGATTAACGGAATTTCCTCTACAAAATATCATGAGTTCTACCAACCTCAGACGCTATGACGCGTTCCATATGGAGTGGGTACTCTATGGTTGCTGATTACAAGTTTGGGAGATGATACGATGTGGGCTTGAAGTACAAATAGGTTTCTGAAGGCGTATATAACATTTTCATTGTATTTGTTTGAAGAAAAACAGAAGATTTATTTAATTTAACTTTAACAATATTTTCGAGATATCAAATGACGATACTCGAAGTCAAATGCCCTAGGGAGGACTCGGTTTGAGGCCTTGTATTCTCATTTCAATTTATCAACTGGTTTCGGGAAAATTATTTTTCCATTTGAACAGGCAGGTCATGTCAAATGACAATGCATTCAGATTTCAAGCCAGACACTATTCGAGTTTTTTTGTAAATCTGTCCATTTGAAAACAGCAACTCAGAGTGAGCAGTTCTTATGGGACGGCGCATTGTAAAATAACTATTTTTGATAAATATTGTTTGTTGGGGAGGATATTTTTTGTTAGATTTTTAAAAAAATTTAATAGATAGCGGGGTCGCTATTTTGAATTTAAAGTTAAAAAATTGTGAAAAAATGGATATAAATTATTATATTGAGAAAGAATATAAATAATATATTTATTACATTTGTGTATAAAAAAGTGAAGAGAAAAAAATTGATCGTTTGTACAGATTTTATGAAAAGTGTGCCAAAGTGCAAGAAATGTTACCAAAAGAGCTTGCTTTATTTATGATAAAAAAATGTTAGACTAAAAGGGTACATATATTTATTTTCGGCATATGGAAAGGATAGTAAGAAAAGCCTTCATCCCCCCCACGTAACATTCAATCGGGAAATTAAAAAATTTAAAACATTCAAAAGCCGTCATAACAGGTATTGTAGAATAATACCGGAAACAAGAAGAGATACAATCATACCATCGCACAAAACAAACGACTTTACTAATGAAAATGTACAAAAACAAAACGTAGTTAGCAGAACTCAATTGATCCATTTTTCACAGAACCTTTCTTAACCTTATTACAAAAAATCTAACGTTGATCATATTACTTTCAAAACTTCTCAAGTTCCATTTTTTTCACTTTACAGAAGGCGACACGAAGAAATATTTTCAACTCCCCCCCCCCCCCCAAAACAAGAAAAAAATCACAAATCTGAAAAATAATAAGCTAGACATGATCATTGATGAAATTTCTAACACAATTTTCTTGATGAATTCATTTTACGCATCTATCAACGAAATTGTACAGGGTGGTATTTAAGCTGTTTGTCTCTTTTGAAGGCACTTTGCCTAGAGTTCATTAGAATAGTTGATACCAAAAATAACCCACCAGATCAAACACTTGATTTCATTTTTGAAAAAAAAAAATGAAAATAGCAAAATTGCGGTCATTCGTCAATATTGTAGAATCACTACGATTTCTTTTCAACCCGGCCATTGAGTTTCAAGGCTTTGTCAAAATGATGCTTTATCAGAATCGAAATTCTTCGTTGGACTTGTTCAAACTCATTTTGACTACCCTGTATGGCAAAAAATATCTGAGATTACCCTATCTGGAACTTCAGTTAGAATCCAGCAGAAATAATTGACACTTTCAAATGAAAAATCAGTTAGTCATTACAGAAATTGACTGACAACCCATACCCATATATACATAAACAAAGTTATGGTATCTCATAGTGCCTAACCAAAAAATTCCAAAGTGAGCGATTGAATTTGATCAGTTTTTAAATGATACAAAAGTTTGACCTCTTGTTGTCAATAATGGGCATTATTATTGAGATTTTTCCGAGAATTATAAATGTTGTGCGAGGCAATCTTTTGTTTAGTTGTTGAAATTTTGCAGTTCAGATGATGTCAAATGGTTTCGATGAGTCAAATTCAGTCGTATCAGTGTGGGATCGAGTTATTCCTATAGTTATAGTTTGTCTTTTCTTGAAGTTATTGCATTATTCATATTATTACTTTTTGTCTTTTTGTAGATTTCTGATGTGTCCGCAAATGCTACGTTCTGTATATTTACATAGCTGTGGAAGGTTATGCCATGAGTTTGACTCACTACCTAGTTATTTTGTCATCCATAACATACAGATTCCTTAAAATGGTTATCTCATTATGATGAGAAACAAAAATTGTTGTATTCTGAAAATTAGGTAATGAGCTGAATCTAAGGCAGGCCTTTGATCAAGAAGTCATAGTATATAGAACATATATTATCTGGTATTTTTTATATTTAATTCGTGTCTGCACTGCTGGACCCACCAGGTGACCTATTATCCTAACAAAAAAATAACAATAAAAAAATAAAAAATGAATATTCGATGTATACCTATACTTGATCATTATCAATGTGACCTTCAGTGTTTCCTGTGAGTCTGAGTGGGAACGGTAGTGCATTCCACTCTGCAGGGCAACTATTTTTCATGATCGGTTCGAAGTCGGAACATTCAGGCTCCTTGGGTTTAGCTTGCTAGATTCATCTAAGAACAATTATCGCGAAATTGTAAGACTAAATCTGCACCTATGGTATTATACATTTTAGGGACCTGAAGTCGAATCAGAACGTCAGTTTCTAACCTGAATTTTTCTTGTTGCAGGTCTCTGTAGACATCAAATTCATACTTAAAATACATAGTAGGTTGGTAGATCTTACCTATTTATTAATTATTATTATTCAGGCTAGAGGTGCAAGTTATCCTGACTCCAGAAATCTGTATTGCATAAGGTTGCCTTTTGGTCATGGAAATGGTATTGTCCTGTGAATTTTTCTTGAACCACTATAGTTTATAGTACATGTTACATATTGCTAGACGGAGACTGATGTGCAAACCAGCCCGCTGTAGTGTTAGGACCTTAGTACCGGATAAATGTACCGTTTTTCATTTCAGCCGGACTATCTTGCACCATAGATACGTTTTCATCCAATAAAAAAGCTGATACACACCTTAACAAGTATTTTGTACAATATCCGAACTAAGGAATAATAATTATAAATGAATGAAAAAGATGTAAACTACCTCAGTAATTATATATTTGTTGTTCATGTTTTAACTTGGGTATCAATATAAGTTTATATTTTACTTATGGTGAATGCTATTTGTACAACGCAGTTTATGATGTAGTAGTACATAGTTACGAGAGATTTTGCGTCGGTGTGCCATTGGGTTATCCAGAAAAAGGTCGATAGTTGCAAAGAAATTTTCATCGTCATGGTGACATTTCCTTGTGACGATTCAGTAACTTACCAACCGTCAAGATTCTGACACACACTTAACAGAGTCACTGGTGTTCATGAATTGCGACTACCACCCTGTATATTTTTATACTTCTACTGTTGTTTCTGGTGCTAACTAATATACTATAATTCCGAAGGTGCTTGGTAACAGTTTTAAAATATTGTTACTATAATTGTTACACCTGTAACAAAGGTAGGAATATCATGGCCAGATTTATGTATTGTGCTCTGCAGTTTTTTCAAAGGCTGTAGAAACTCTGTTTTTTTTTTCAATGTACAACATCAACATCTACAATTTAACCAAGAGATAGCCGAATGATTTCTCAGGAATAATAGCTCAGGTAATTCTTCCAATTGAAATTTACAAATGAATTGGTTCGATTCAAATTTTTGTACACAATAACTCCCTGTAGATGATGATGACATAAAAAGTAACAGATCGACATGATATTATGGTTTAAATACGAAGAAATTTTGAGATTATTGTCTTGGCAACCAAAACGATGTTTTTTTCTTATATGGCATACTTGAATCAAAATTGCATTACATACACACTTGTCTCATTATTTCAGTTAAATAAATAGTGTTCCCTTAATAGAATTGTTTCCTTTTTCAGTTTTTCCATATTGTTGATCACGTGACATACATTGAAAATTTTCCACTTTATTTGAGTCACTATACAGGGTGTCCAGAAGAATATGGGAAATCTCTCGGATTCGAAAACTCAATGTTTTGAAAACTTGTTCTGAGGAGTGCCTATACTGCCCATTAGTATCCTTAACACGTTGACACCTATGTAAATGAGGTGTCTGGTCGAAAAAAGGCACTTTGTTTTGCCGGTTTTGAAGTTATATTAGGCCAAAAAATGATTTGAAATGAAGGAAGACATTTGTTTGCATTTTTTCGCACACAAAACAGAATGACGGCTATAGCTGGACCCTTTTCTTTGGTTTACTTGGGCACTTCAAACCATTCTACGTGTAAAATCGACAGAAGAACCCGTTGATGCCTTACAAATCACTCACCTTTCTGATAATTTTCTAATTCTCTTTGTTACGGAAAGCCTTAATGTCGTTGTTGCTCTTCATAATAATTTGTTTATTTTATCATTCTTTTATTCTTTTCATAACCCGCGTATATTAATGTTGCACTAGGACGACCTGTATAATTTATATCACATTGTTGCGAGTGATATGCACAAAAACAAGTACCGATAAGACCAGCAGTCGTACTACATCTTCATCGGGTCTCCGGAGAGTACAGGCGATTCCTATTGCTCCTCGTGCTTAATTTTTGCCATGCAATGAATCTAAATTCCTTTACATAACTAAATGTTCTTTCAAGTTTGACGGTTTTATCGCAAGTCCTCACAATCGAGACAATTCAGTGTTTGTGTCAAACATATTCCATTGTTAGAAATAAATGGACATAAACAAAATAAAACAGCTCTTTCGCACATATATTATATTTCCTAATTAAATAAAAACATTTCTATTTCTACAATCATCAACGTTTAAAAAATATCACAGGAGAACTAATTTGCATAATGTACAGGACGAAAATCCAATTCTAGATCAAACTATACATTACTATTCATTCCAAATCCTGCCCACTGAAGGAAACAAAAATCCCAACCGCACACACACACACACGAACTTCTCAATAAATAGGAATCTTTTTGGTGATGGTCTTTCTGCACATATGACAGTTCTTGAGAGTGTCTGCGCACCGCGCGCATGTGCTGTGCCCGCAAAGGAAAACAACATTCTTCTTCCTCTTCATGCAGATGCTGCACGCGTGGCTCTCCTTTATCTCCGCTATCTTGCTCTCCAGATGCTCAACTGTCTATTCTAGGCGGGAATCACTCTGCCATCTTTACCAAAACTCGTTTATCTACCGAACGGCAAATCTTTGCCTAACTCAACTTTGTGATAATTTTCTTATGCCCTTTATAAAAACTACTGAAAGTCTTGCGAAATTCAGATGATTTTTGTGTGCTCACCTGAAAGATATTCTTGTCATCACTTCAGCGATATTTCAAACACATTCCATTGTTAGAAATAAATGGACATAAACAAAATAAAACAGCTCTTTCGCACATATATTATATTTCCTAATTAAATAAAAACAGTTCTATTTCTACAATCATCAACGTTTAAAAAATATCACAGGAGAACTAATTTGCATAATGTACAGGACAAAAATCCAATTCTAGGACAAACTATACATTACTATTCATTCCAAATCCTGCCCACTGAAGAAAACAAAAATCCCAACCGCACACACACACACACACACACACGAATTCTCAATAAATAGGAATCTTTTTGGTGATGGTCTTTCTGCACATATGACAGATCTTAAGCGTGTCTGCGCACCGCGCGCATGTGCTGTGCCCGCAAAGGAAAACAACGTTCTTCTTCCTCTCCATGCAGATGCTGCACGCGTGGCTCTCCTCGATCTCCGCTATCTTGCACTCCAGATAGCGCATGCGCTCGGCGCTAGGCTGTCTGCTCTTGGCGGGAATCACCCTGCCATCTTTGGTGACACGTTTCTGCACGATCTGGCCGCAGTGCAGGCACTTTTTCATGCGCGACGAGCAGTCCTCACAGGCGGGCTTGTGGTCGCACGGTTCCAGTTTGACGTTTTCCTCGGACAGCTCGGAGCAGACGAGGCACTCGACCGGTTTGTGGGGTAGCAGGAGGTCGGCGGTACGGTTGTCTTGCGAAGTGCCCACAGAATCTGAAGGTGCAAAAGAAAATAGAAACAAAACTGTTTATAATAGGGATTCATGAACAATAGCAGTTTACCTACTACCAATATTACCGTTTTATTCATCCGATTACGCCACCGGAATCACTGATGTGTTGTTTTATTTGCAACTATTCCGGATGCTACTTTTTCATTCCGTCTCACTACTAGGAATGACGTGGAATGACTGTTGACAGTTATCGAAAAATTATATAAGATTGACGAAAAACAAAACTTTTTGAAAGTAGAAGACATTTAGCAGACATTTTTATCAGGAATTTCTCAAGTTTATGATTCTTTCAAGTAAGACAGGTTCCATATGTTCATTCCCAGATGAAATTAATTCGCTCGGTCTCAGAGAAGTTTCTCCAATCACCTCAATCAATGCTCCAAATATTCGTTGATCGATTTTCTAGATTCTCAACTCTTTTATCATGATTTTGAAATTATTTGGAGCCCCAATATATGAATATATCCTCTTATGTGAATTCTCTCATGCAAGGTCCTGAAGTTTCTCGTTGGAATGGAACAAATGAAACGCAACTATTATGTAATGTGATACATTACGACACTGATTTCAGTTTCGTAATGGGATTCTTCACCGCACTAGTGCTGTGAAGTGAAAGAATAATTGCAGGTCTTGTGAAACAATGACAAGCCACACAAGAGTTCAAAATGAGTTGGCATAGGTCTATTTTTTTCTCTAGTTACTACCCGATATGAGAAGCCAAACAAAATGGTCGAAACAAGAGGAAGCTGCTCCGATAATGCTGTGAATTCTGACGATCCTAGCAAGAAAAATATTGAAGTTAAGTTGACATTCATTGATTGTGGCCGTGACCCTAACATCTAGAAGTGATTCAAGTGATGAAAATCCAGCAGTATGCAAAACCAAATGTGGCTTGTCACATTATTAGCATTCGAAAATAAAGCGTAATAAAGTATTATTGTAGTGGCATGTCACGTCGTGGCTTGTTTTATTATTGCATTTTGTGGTGAGTGAGTGAATAAGAAAAATAGAAGAAACAAACCCATCTGAAAAAATTCCAACAAGTCGATGGAATTAATAGTTAGCGAAGAAGTCAAATCACCCCGTAAATGAAAATAATACCTAAGGAATGCCTTATCACAAGCGGCTGATTCATGGGTATTCGTAATCATCATGCGATTGAAGAGGGCTCATTCATCGGCAGCTGAACGAGAAGGTCGTTCCTTTCTCATAAAATGTCTTCTATGTACAGGGTATCCCAATTTGGGCACTTTTGCGGGGTATCTCCCTTATCAGTAAAGATAGAGCATTGCGGTTTTCGCGACAGTGTGCTACTTTTTTATGAAATTAATAATGGCGCAAGCAGAATTGTGGTAGCTCTTCCGGTTGTCTAGATACAGGGTGGAATTGAAAAATATCACCCCCTGTGTCTCAGTTATCTTTGAACTTATCGAAGAAGTTAAAACTTGTTTTTATAGAGTTTTTCTCGTAGAATCCAGTGGCGTAGTTATTTTTTTGCTAGCACCTTTTGTTTTTTAGTTATGGAGCAAACATATGTTTTCTTAAATGGAAAATAATTGTATACAATTATATATTTTTGGAAAGCCCACTTCATGCTCAATGTATATATGAAATAATATACAGGGTGTTCCATTTAAAAAAACATATGTTTGCTCCATAACTAAAAAACAAAAGGTGCTAGCAAAAAAATAACTACGCCACTGGATTCTACGAGAAAAACTCTATGAAAACAAGTTTTAACTTCTTCGATAAGTTCAAAGATAACTGAGACACGGAGGGTGCCTGAAAAGTGATATTTTTCATTTCCACCCTGTATCTCGACAACCGGAAGAGCTATCACAATTCTGCTTGCACCATTATTAATTTCATAAAAAAGTAGCACACTGTCGCGAAAACCGCAATGCTCTATCTTTACTGATAAGGGAGATACTCCGCAAAAGTGCCCAAATTGGGATACCCTGTACAAGTCATCCTGAGTGAATAAATATGTTTCACTGTTGGAAATTTGTTTATCTACGATGCCTCGACTTAGAAACCTACAATATGGTGGCATGGTGCAGCGACCTATATAAGACTAGGGTCCCTTGATGGAAATTGACGTTAAAGTCATCTTAACAGGGTAAGGACAGATCCTCGTCTCCTCTCACTCTAAAGTGTTTGTGAAACAGTTATATAGTTCCATCCTTATTCAATTCTGGGGATAAACACTAGATTTTTGACATTCGTTGTTTTTTAGGTTATATTGAGGTCACTGGCGTATCATACGTAATCTCCATATGGAATTCCTGATTCAATACTCAATGACTATACCAAGATATAGATAAACAATCCTCTAGTTTTAGAGTCTACTATTCCAGCATAATCTTTGCGAGGGAGGAATCATATAAATTGTACTGAAAGCTTAATATATTTCAGCAAAAGAGACTGTTCTCAGACTGTAAATTAGGGTTGACTGAGTGACTAAATGAATTCCGACTTCAAGCTGAGCAGAAGTTTATTTATGAGCTGAATGAGCTGAGCCTTATGATTGAGAAATGGTGGAAACCTCGAAGTGGGTATCTGAAATACTGTATTCATGTCATGTGTGCTCAATATATTTTCGGAAATACAATTCTGAGAACAATTTATGGAGTGACTAATATGACACTATGTATAAAACTTCATCTGGGACGAAAAGTAGACTCAAGGCTGATGAAAAGTAATACGTTAAATGTGCAGGAAAATAAATGATACAATATACTTTACCCCAATGTTATACATATGATTTTTCCGTCTCCCCTGAATAAAAAGTCATTTTCGAATAATTTATTGATGGAAGTAACAGAAAAGTAGGTATACGCAGTATAACTTACAGACACGTTATTTTCACTCTTGCATCCTACATATTTTGTATTTGTGGTAGAGTAATAATTATATAAACTAATGTATTTCGCCATATTGGATCCGTCTTCTTGAATTTTCGAATTTTGACGAAACAATCATTATCTCCTACCCCGAAAACCCCCAGATACCAATCTTAAATAGAAGCAGATCATAATTAGGAATTTCTTTATTGGATTCACCATCTTGAATTCTCCAAGTTTGACGAAACAATCATTATCTCCAACCCCGGAAAAAATCAGATACCTTCTAATTTTGAATAGAATCGGATCATAATTACAAAACTCGTTCGCTATCTGATCTTCCTCAACAAGTAAATACTTGTAAATACCCTGTACATACCTATTATTAAAATTTTGAATGATTTTTGTAGCGCCCATGATTATGACGTGACAGCAATGTCAGGGATGCCAGTAGACAAAACTAAAGTCTCTAGATCATTAAAAAAGAATGCAGCTATGATCTGTCCGTACCCTGTTAAGGTGACTTTTACGTCAATTTCCATCAAGGGACCCTATATAAGACTAAAACCATTTGAGTTGCTATATTATTTTCAACATTCGCAAAAAAAGACAAAAGATTTTTGAGCAACCAGTTGGCGAACCAGAAGTATTGAACTCACATCCTGTGAAGGATTTGTACAGACTTGTACAAGGTACAGAGATAATGGACTGGGCACAATAATAAAAAAAAAAACTACTAGGTAAGATACAATGGGCCAATAGGCCTGAGGGTCGTCGGAGACATTGGTCAGACGAGCTTACAAGAGGGGTGGAGTTATTTAGTGGGTATACTCTGGCTAGAGTCAGAGAACTCCCACCCTATCATATGGAGGATTAGACCCATATGATGTCCATAAAGGATTCCAACTACCTCGACAAAAAAAACTATTACTACTAATAAACGGTGTGGCATAGCCGATTGGCGAGTTTGAAAGGGCTATTAAAAAGAAAGGGCAAAATTGGAGAAACACGGTTTTACTCATAACGACGTTCAAATGCCTTATCTTCAAGGTAGCCCTAAAGAGTGGAGTCATTGATGCTCATCAGGTGAGGTGAGCACACTGGGCACTCAACTAGGAAGGTACTGTGACAGTGACATTTTCTTTCTCGAATTGAGACACAGTCCACTCAAACTGTGACTTTGGGCTAGCAGAGGGGTCAGAAAACGTTGACAGAAATGTCAAAATGGCGTAGTAACCCCCACTGGGTCGCGATCACAGAACGGTTATTTTCGTAAAACGTACGGACGGCAAAGTCCCGATGCATTCCGGTCCAAATCATGGTGCTGACCTAAGAAATAAGGAAATAATAATAAAAGTAGAAACTATAGACCCTATATGGCCCTTCAAAACTCGTCAATCGGCTCTACTGCACCCTGTATACTTGTAAGATGTAGAAGTGACATAATCATTGTGGACTTACTCTTATCTCCTCTATCTCCTTTGGATCTACTCCTTCTCGCTCGTTGGGATTCAATTCCAGGGAGGCTTTTTGGTGGGGTTTCGGTGAGATTGTACCCTTCTCTTTGGCTGTCCTCCAATGTCAAATTCTCAAATTCCTCGATATCCCTTTCAACGCCCTCGATTTGGTTATTTTCTATTGGCACAGGTTTGTAACTTTTCACCAATTCCTGAATCAATGAAAATTTTGATGGTATTTCAAATATCAAAACATAAAAACTTGTTTCAGATGGAATTTAAAAGAACAGTTGAAATGAATATGTATGTGTAGTCTAGTGGTATCAGTTTTAAATCTGTAACATTTATATTACTTTAAAATAAAGAGGTGAATTACAAAAAACATATACGTCAATTGTTTCTTGGGAATAATAAGGATGATGATGATGATGAAGTCACACAATCAATAGGAATATAAGGTCTTAATCGACGAGCTGAATCTGTATTATGCGAAATGACTGGTTTGCCGAATTTTTTTATATGGGGAAAATACTCGTTTCAACAATTTTCAGTTTTTTGCAACTTCCGGTATTAGTGGAAATGGACCTCTATTCTGTTATTTTTAATTACATTTTGAGCATCAACGCTGAATTTCAATGTAACTTCATATTAAACATCATATGCCTAGAATACGCTATTTTTCTGGTTATTCGAGATTTTTCGAAATTTTTGACAGATATAGAACCTAACAAAAAAATACTAGGCAGATCTAATATATTCAGGATCTGAAAGTCAATGGTTACCCTCCTTTTTCTCATCACCAGTGGATTCTATGCCATACACCATACATACCGAAGTTGAATGCATTATATTTATTTTTTCTTGAGAAATTGCGAAACAACTATTTTTATTTCTTAACTGAACGCTTCAAGACCGTATGTCCATATCTCAGTGATTATGAATTCACGAGGGCTATCACCTGTCAAGCGTTGTCAGTCGAATTTCGCAACACCCTGTAGATGCATACATACATACATACATACATACATACATACATACATACATAAATACATTCAAACATCCATACACACATACAAAAAAATATTCGTGCTTAATGAAAACAAATCAAAAGTGACAGATACATCAAGAAACTCAACCGAATTCGAGATCAGAAACTTGAAATCTGATGCAAAATAATTTCTGAAATTTATCCATACATACCTGCAGCTGCTCGTCCTGCAACAAGTCCAACGGCCGCCGCCCCTTGCCGTTCACCGCCTCCACATCGCACCCGGCCCTCACCAGATAGCAGGCGATGGCCACGGCCAGTCGGCCCTCCTGCACGTGGCCCAGGTACTCGTAGATGGCGTAGATGGCGGGACTGTCGTCGGCGGTCACGTCGCCGTTCAGATGGTCGCGCTTGGAAAGGACCAAATGGAGGGCAGTCTCGTCGTCTTCGTCTTTGGCGTTGATGTCGGCTTTGAGGTGGACGAGAGGCTCGATGACGCAACAATGACCTGGAAGTGACATCTCCACACAATAATAATAATAATAATAATTTTTATTTTCTGTAAAATGTATAACATGAAACAGTAAAGTAAGTCAAAAAAAAAAAGAAAAAATATAACAAACAAACAATTCCACAGAATCACAATTAAATACAATATATTCATCACGTTACTAACATTACATAGAATTACATAAAATACTCATCCAGCGTATAGCAGGCCTTTTGAATTAGCTGTTGTTTAAGCCTCTTTTTCAATATATTCAAGTTTTTGGAGCTCTTAAGTTGTTCATCAAGAGAAGTTATATAGTTTACAACCAGTATATTAAAAACTTTTCTGGTACAACGTAGTCCGGTGTCTCTCAGGTTGGAGGTGGCTTTTGAAGCGTGTATTATGATCGTGCTCTTCTCAACAGTATTCAAAAACATGTTTTTATTTTTATAAACGTATAAACAAACTTCTAGTATGTATAAACTAACTACGGTTAGGATGTTGGCAGTTCTGAAATATGCTCTGCAACTTGTTCTCATATCGACACTAGCAATAATTCGAATTGCATACTTCTGAAGAACCAGTACTCTTTTCACATGAGCACAATTGCCCCAATTCAAAATCCCGTAATTCATGTGGGAATGGAAATTGGCATAGTACAACGAGAGTAGTATGTGCCGACTGCAGTGGTTCTTCATCAATTTCAGACTATAACAGCTACTCTGTAATTTTTTGCACAAATTATTAATATGATCAACCCAATGAAGCTGCCTGTCGAAAGTAACTCCCAATAGTTTTACTGACATGCTGCTGGTTATTTCATTATCAGAATTTTCGAATAGTTTGACTACATCAATCCTGCTGGAACCAAAAAGAACAATTACTGTTTTTCCATGATTAAGTTGTAGATTATTATTTTTTGACCATTTCTCAATATTCGAATAAACCATTTCAGCAGTACTTTTTAGCCTATTTAGATCTTCATCAATAACCAAAATATTCGTATCATCTGCATAACACGTAACATGAACATTTTTGATTTACGTCAGTATGTTATTATTTAACAGAAGAATCAAGTTTTTGGATGTATGAGAAATTGATATTCATTAGAGTCAAAGGATGATTATTAGTTTGATAAGAGTTCGAACACAGAAATGACAAAATTTGACAGATAATATAACCTCTAAAATGGTTTCTGACAACCAGGTGCTAACAGGGATATTGAAAAGGCAAAGAGCAGAATATACCGGGAGTCCCAAGTTATCGTCTACAAGCAATATCTCGCTCATTTGACAAGATAATTGAAAAATTCCAAAACTGCCTTGAATGGCATTGAAGTACCTTCCTGATGACATCCCCCACTTTTCATGTTCAAATGGCACCCCTTGTATATTCTCATTGAAAATGACGTGTCATCCTATGAGGAATATACTTGGTAATTTTTATTATTATAACAACAAAAATCCCCTTCACCATCCATCAAACGAACTTCTATATCGGCTCACCAGGGTGCAACCAATTTCTGAGAGACTGAAAAAGCTAACTATGAAGTTCTCCAAAAACGAATTCAATCTTCAAATTATCCAATTTAGTGTTCACAGAGAGATTCAACAGTGAACCCACGACGGAAGTTTCCGGAAAACACACTATTGGAATGCTTAATCACTTCAGAAGACTGAAATTCCTTCAAAATTCTTGCCTCACAATAGAATTCTCTTCTTTTTTTACACTAGCAAATTTAATAATTCCATAATTATATCTTGTACATACAATTGATTGATTGATTGATTAATAGCAGAATGATCAGTCAGGGTTTGAAGCCCAAAACACTGCAGCCTTTGGGCCTATTGTATTAGTGATCATGCTGTTGACTTAGGTGAACAGGTTCGCTACCTTGATGAGGTTTAGCAGCCTCTTCACCAAATCATTCTTTGAAAATGCCTCTTGAGAGTTTACTGCTTTCAGAAGGTTGTATCTCCAACGCTCTAGTGCTTCGCACCCCAATATTACATGGGTGGCAGTTTCCCCCTCCTCATTGCATAGTCTGCATATGGGTTCGTCTGTATAGATGCCCATTTGATGCATATGTTTCCTCCAGGGGCAGTGACCGGTTATTAGTCCCGTCACTTGTTTGATCTGACTTCTGTTTAGGCTCAGAATGTCGTTAGTCACTGTTTTGGACAGTGTTCCAACCATCAGTTTACTGTGTCTTTGTCCTGGGACATTGTTCCAGTATGCCTGATGTCTTTCTTGCATCCACCTTGCCAGCCAGCCGCGTATTGAGGTTTACATACAATAATGATGAATTTAAATTCAATGTATTATCACTGTGTAACACAGGCTGAAGGACCTCGGTTGGTGGCCTTTTGGGTATCCAATAAAGCTCCTTAATTATTATTATTATTATTAACAACAAAAATAGCAACATTCATGTATGATTTTCAACTAAAATATCATTCATGCAAATCAAAAAGATAAACTAAAAAAAAAATCACAGCAAGTCTCGAAATTTTTTTGACATGAGGAGCATCGGCTTTATGAAGCAAAAAAACATAAGCAGAGGCATTTTTTCATTTTCGTAACATGAAGCAAGTCACAAAATATAGGCTATCATTGTATTCCAAATTGAATGACACATAATTTCCAATGACAAAATGAAAAGTGGGAGGTAGCTGCCAGAGAATTGTCGAATGTAATAGATTTTTTTATGTCATTATGAGGGTACCTCAATGCCATTCAATGCAGTTTTTGAATTTTTCAATTATCTTGTCAAATAAGCAAGATATTGCCTGTACACGATAACTTGGGACACCCGCTATGTCTTATTATTTTATTCACTCAAACCATTGTAATATAGAAAATCGAAAAGGACAAAAGTTCAGCTGTGTCCGAACTAAAGTTCAGCTGTGTTCGAACTTATCTACAACTACCATCCAGTAACTCGTAATATTCATCAAACATCATACAGGATGGAGGAGGTGGTGCATCCACCTGATTGTCGGATGGTTTGTGTCCAAAGAGCAAAAAACAAAGACAAAGCATTGACAAAGTGAAATAGAATGCGTAGAACTGAATGGAGGAAACAAGACAGGTGGATTTATATTAGAGGTCTGACCAATCAAAAAGCGTACAACTATTGTCGTCTCTTTATTTATAAAGTTACTCTAGTTTTAGTCATATTATAGAGGTATGAAAATTGTGTATATCATGAAGAATGGCTGGAAGAATAACTAGACTTCAGGTTACTGAGGAGGGTTTGATATCCGAAATGAATTTCATTCCAATAAAGTCATTTAACCTGTTTGTGTTAATTCCCATATCACTGATAAGAAAGATTTTTCTGGAAGTATCAATCTCATAAAGATCAGAGTTTATACAAGTATACTTCTCCTATACATTTCAATTTTCATTTCAATACTGATCATATTTTGGTAAGTTGTATTTTTATATCATAATACATCATATTATTTATCCGATTTGGGATCTATCTCAATTTTAGAGGTTTTTTAATTTTCATACTCTCATTTTGGATTTTCAACAGATATAATTCAATGTTCGACGTGGCAAATAAGCAGGAAAATAGTTGTTTTCTGTTGAATATTCAGAATTATATTATGTGCATATACATATTTTTATCTCAAGGAGAAAGCAAATTCTCATCTCCAGAAGATTTTGTTTTAAAATTCGTATCCTGTGTGTTCAATAGATATAATTCAATTCAGGGGGTCAGGTAAGTGTTTGGGATCACACGTTAAAAGGTAAGGCCCCCATCATTTCTTGCTCGCACAAGACTCTGGAAGACTTCTGAGAATTCCTCATAAGGGGGCAACCGAATGACGGATAGAACAATTTTAGAACAATTTTTAGAACAATGTTCATCGTGGCATATAGCCACTCTCCTGACAAAGCAGATCCTTGTTGGTTTACCTTGTAGGACTGTAAGACTGGTACAGTTGAAAGGTCATTTAGTAGACTTAGGAGAATCAAAACCTGGTTGAGGAGCACCATGTCTGAAGCTCAACTCAATGATGAGTGTACACAGGCAACATATTTTCAAAAACATGGACGATTACGTCAACAAAGTTATCAACAAATTCGCAAAGAACCCTATAAGATTATCTTTCAATGGGCGTGTACACCTTAGTAGAACTTTCAACTCAAACCATGTTTTTAATGATCCTTTTATACATAAATAATGATAGACATAATTCGACCGAAAAATTAACTGAAATGTTTTATTTTTGGACATAAATAATAGTATCTTCTGAAAACGGACCCTCTTATGAAGTAGGAACCTCAACTCGCCATAGTTAAAAGAAAATACCAAACGCCCGACGGAGACTGATGCAACTGATATTAAATCTTTCAACTGTGATCTCGCGCTAATTCACTCTGTCAGAAATCATGTATCATTCATCTCTGTCTGGAATAGTCTTGTTTCAGTATTAGGGTTTTGACGTCACATTATCGCCTCGTTTTCAGAGGTCCGAAAAATCGGGGAATTCGATAATTTTTTATAAAACGTAGGGAGCTCACAGCAAGAAACGGTTTGCGGTGATGAGCTAGTTTGGGTGAGTTCTATCGAATTATGAAATACAATTTTTTTTGTGATATAAGCCCATTGATTTTCTACAGTGTGACCCATTTGAAAGCGGGTCACCCCTGTATCTCACGTAATCGTTGGGTAAGGATCATGAAATTTGCTGGAGCGAGAGATATACCAAAAATGCACTCTATGACCAAGTGGGGTCATCTTCAGTGATATACACTGCTCGCCAACAGCCATGGAACCACCCCAATTTCCGGAAAATTATATTAGGAGTCAAAATAGGTTGAAAATCACTTCGGATTCGGAATCAGGACGCCCAGTTCACTAACTCTTCATATTTTTCCTTGAAAATTTTCAGTTCTGAAAAATTAAATTCTGTCGCACTTTTCACGGAAGCACCCCCGTATCTCACGTAATTGACTTTATCTTTGGACTTTCCGTTCCTCCTGCAAATTTTAGAACCCTACCTCAATAATTACGTGAGATACGGGGGTGCTTCCATGAAAAGTGCGACAAAACTTAATGTTTCAGAACAGAAAATTTTCAAGGAGAAATATGAATATTTGGTGAATTGGGCGTCCTGATTCCGAATCCGAAGTGATTTTCAACCTATTTTGACTCCTAATATCATTTTCAGGAAATTGGGGTGGTTCCATGGCTGTTGGCGAGCAGTGTATATCACTGAAGATGACCCCACTTGGTTATAGAGTGCATTTTTGGTATATATCTCGCTCCAGCAAATTTCATGATCCTTACTCAACGATTACGTGAGTTACAGGGGTGGCCCGCTTTCAAATGGGTCACTCTGTATATAGATTTTTTCCGCCTTTTAATCTTTCTTATTTGATATTTTTCTTCAGTTTTCCTAGCATTCCGGCTGGCGACACCCTCGTTTCTCACCCTGACTAACAGCCAGTAGAAGCGCCGTCTGACTCCTGTTGTTCCGCAAGTCGATGTCGGCCTGCCCGCTCCGCACCAGCGCCTCCACCACTTCCTTGTGCCCGTTGAGGGCGGCCAGATGCAGGGCCGAAAAGCCGTCGTCCTTCTTCACGTCCACCAGCTGTCTGGCCGCGACGAGCAGCCGCTTCGTCGCGAACGTTTTGCCCTTGAGGGCGGCGTGGTGGAGGACGTTGAAGCCGCGTTTGTTGCGCAGAGTGAAGTCGGTACCTGCAAAACGGAGTGGGAGTTGTAGTCCAATCTAGAGTCGCTGGATGGTATTAGTTAGAGTCACTAGATGGTATTAGTTTGATAAGAGTTCGGACACAGAAATGACAACGGTTAGGATTGTTGAATGTTTAGATTTATTAAGTCACTCACCTTGCATTGTGACAAGAGCAACATAAGTCACGTTTGTTTGTGATCTCTGGTGCAAGAATTGGGTAGGAACGAATAAAACGGCAAAGAATAAAGAATGACATTGATGTGATGACAACCGTGTGAAAACATCAATAGAATACATCAAAGTTTTGAATAGATCAATTTTTGGATCTTTGGATTGGATCCATGGATTGATGATACATATTGGATAATGGTTTGGGATGGTTTGGGATTGGCAGATTATTTGAACTTTGAACTTTAGGTAGTGATAAGAATAGTTAAGAGATATTGTAAGATTATTTGTTAAGATTATAAAAATTTATTTCTAAGAGTTGTCAGCACCTGATTTTTTTTCCAAAACTTTCGGACCATACGTTAATAACTGTGAATTCTCGTTACTTGCAGTCTCGTTTCAGAGTCTTTTTGTTTCAAGGTATTTTTCAACTGTTCATCCTTTTCTTTGATTTTTTTTCTGTATTTCTCATCATTCTCTACTAATGAATTTTGAATGTTTGCATATTTTCTCTCTAAATCTTCGATAATTTCTTGTTTGTGATCTAAAATAAAGTTAATTTGATCTTGGCTTTCTATTTGAATTTTTTTTTTGTACAAATTTTTCAGGATTCGATAAAGAATGTCTTCGGTAATCTTTCTGATAGAATGAAGGCTCCGCATTTTCTTTCAATTTAATGGTATGTTCCACTATCAAATCTCCACTTTTGAGATGCACCTATTATGTTGAAATTGAAATTAGAAATGATATAATTCTTTCCAATATGCATCATATTCAATCGAAAAATTCAAATATTGAGTACTTACTTTGCAAATGTTGCTAGCTGAACTCAATTATTTCCACAATGTCCGCTTCATATTTTGTTTCCATTTCTGTAGGTGTTGTTTATCGTGGAGGATATGGAATAAATGTAATGATTCACTTCTATTCTTGTAGTTTTCAACTACACAATTGGCCATTTTAATTTTTGAAAAACTGAATTTTCAAATAAATCAATGTCATGTACGTTCATGAACTGTCAGTGCCCGCCAGATGGGCTGCGTGAAAGAACTGTCAGATGACCGACCCTGGAGGAACAACATTGAAACACAACCTCACTTTTCTTATTTGTTTACGAGTGATTGAAATAGTTTTTCACAATTATTTTGGCATAGGAATCGTATTTCTCTGCTATTCATTAATTCACTCATTGTGCTGTTGTGCAATGCACAAAAACTGCAGCAGAAGAGCTAATAGAAATACACATGAAATTTCTAGAATAATGCAAGAAGATTGGATTCATGCAATCAAACGGAAGGACTGGTCTGACATGCTGACGAAATACGATCGTGCGTGTTTTAGACTTTTTCAATGGATTAGCAGTATAATCACAATACACGCAACAGTGATCTTATTAGACCTCAACGTTACAAACTCAGCAAATCACAAAAAAATTCTCATGATCTCAGATTATATAATGCTCTTCCTGCCAGTATTAAAACTATGAATATGTTTTTCTTCAAGAGAGTTATGAAAGATTATTTTGAAAAAAATTGCTTTTACTCGATTGCAGAATATCTGGCTCACGTTAGTGGCCACAATTTTGATACAAGGAACACACTTGCCGAACATCCATTCTTGAGGGAAACGTAAATGTGTATTTTGTTTTTGTTTTTGATTGTATATTATTCGTCTCTGATTGTATATTTTTCGTCTTTTATTGTAAATTATCATTTTTTACATTCTTTTCACCAAAATGGAATCATTTAGGACTTGCTACAAATGTATGAATGTACATCAAGTAGTCAATAAAACTCTACTCTACTCTACTCTACTCTATCTTCTATTGCAGAAGTGGCACGAGGAATTTTAATAAGAAATGACAAAATTTCATAATGAGAACTATGTGAGATTACTATTTACCTGGAAAATCATATTCCTTCGTCTCTCGCTGCATGTTTTGTGCATTGTACAACAGCACAATGAGAAGGCATGTCTGAATTAATGAATAGCGCAAAAAAACACGATTTGTAAGCCAAAATATTGTGAAAAACTATTTCAATCCTATGATTTCTCTGTAAACAAATAGAAAAAGTGAGGTTGTGTTTCAATGTCTCACAGAAGAGTGAGGTTATGTTTCAATATTTGGCCTCCAGGGTCGCTCATCGTGCACGCGACCTATTACAGCAAAACTGTCAAATACATACAGGGACTCTATGTCTACCAATTGTTATTCAGTCTGAGATCTAGACCACCGCCTTATAGAACCTTACCTTGCGCCTTACAAAGGATCTCGACGACTTGATAGTTGTCCTTCCCGATGGCGTCATGCAAGGCCGTGTCGCCGTAGAGGTCGGTGCTGTTGGGGTTGGCGCCACCTGCCAACAAAATCTGCACGCATTTGGCGGGCTGTTTGTGCGCGGCGATGTGCAAGGCGGTGCACCCGCTGCGGTTCGACGCGTTCACGTCCACGTTGGTTTTCACTAGCAGTTCCAGCACCTGATTGAAAATTTACAAAATAGAAATTAAAATAACAATTGAACTGTATCGAAGTTGCAATAATTGATAATATGAAGAATAAGATTTCGATACAAATTGAAATACTTGGATTCAATTGAATAAGATGTTTAATGAAATGTAATACAAATACTGTATCAAGGTTAATCAAGGAGGTGGAACATTCAATTTACCAGATTTTTTGGGATTCCTCCTTGCTTCTACTCGTTTTTCTATAGAGAAACCGTGTGCATGAGCAAAAACGTTGCCATACGATTCGTATCGCGACAACACCTCCTTTGAGCGAGTCCATTTTCGGCCCGACCAAAGGGATTAATGTTTGCACCACGTACCATACTCTAGTAGGTGGGGCAACGAGGCTCATGAAACGTTTCTCTATAGGAAAACTATTCTTGCCAGACGTGTATGTTCACTAGCGGTGAAATGGATGTTTTTTTTCAAATTCCTGGAATGCGTCAACGTTTCTATCTATTTACTTACATTTTGCAAGCGATGTGAAAAATATAGTTCTTTAAGGGTAGCTGAAACCAGCTTCAACATGTTTTTTTCAAATGCAACCCTATGGCTTGTGACCCCTTGTCAAAAAATTATTGCCATTTGAAAACGAATAGACACGATAATGTAATTTTGTCAACTTGTATTCTCTCTATATATCATACTAGTCACTGAAACTTTGTGATCATAATTTCGTAACATCACCTGAGGTCCTTAGATTAGTTACATCCGATCATGGCCACCTAGATGCTATATTAAAAGTGACTCTAAAAAAATGAAGTAGGCGTAAAAACTTTTGAAAATGTCATATTCTGATCCAGAATTGTGTCAGGATTTCAAAAATGGTATAATATACAGGGCCTTCCGTTTAAAAACCGGAGGAGCACGGAAAGTAAAAAATATTCGAAAACATTCCCTTCACATCCCAAATACCCATATCAAATTTCAAATTTCATTTTGATACAAATAAGTATTCCAGAAGTTATGGCTTGTCTAATAGATTCATTGATAACAGGTATTTATGCACATTTAAATTAAATTCACGCATATGTGTTCATATCTATTGTATAATGGTCATGTTCCGATTCGCAGACATTACTGGTACACTAGCAGCAAAATATTCCCATAACCTACGTTCTTTCCATTTTCGATATTTCGTTTTGTTGATTTTTATTTTCACCATTCCTATTATTATCTTCTATACTTACGTTGAAATTATGGATGCAGTGTCTGGAGTGATTAATCATATTAATCTTAGAAGACATCTATTATCCGATAGTGATTTTGATTCATCAGAATCACCAAAAGCTCTAGTACCTGAGTACCTCTAGTTCCAGTGATGAAGAAATCAAGCATAGTTGTGAAATATTTGATATCAAATGTGGGAATAACAATAGCAGTTAGCTTCGATTTATCGATATGTCTTTTCTTGATATTGTACTTGTGTTCTTTAGTCGTTACTGAGAGAGATCTTTTCGTTTCACCTGTATAGTACTTTCCACAAACACAAGGTATACTATAAATACAATTTTGTGATATAATTTTCTTTATTCTTATCTTATTGTATTTGTGGAAACTTATTCTTTCTCTTACCAATGCAATAGCATTGCTTCCTTTTCAGTTGATATAGAATCTATATCTATATTATACAGAGTGACCCATTTGAAAGCGGGCCACCCCTGTGTCTCACGTAATCGTTGGGTAAGGATCATGAAATTTGCTGGAGCGAGAGATATACCAAAAATGCACTCTATGACCAAGTGGGGTCATCTTCAGTGATATACACTGCTCGCCAACAGCCATGGAACCACCCCAATTTCCGGAAAATTATATTAGGAGTCGAAATAGGTTGAAAATCACTTCGGATTCGGAATCAGCACGCCCAATTCACTAACTATTCATATTTTTCCTTGAAAATTTTCAGTTCTGAAACATTAAATTTTGTCGCACTTTTCATGGAAGCACCCCCGTATATCACGTAATTATTGAGGTAGGGTTCTAAAATTTGCAGGAGGAACGGAAAGTCCAAAGATAAAGTCAACTACGTGAGATACGGGGGTGCTTCCGTGAAAAGTGCGACAAAATTTAATTTTTCAGAACTGAAAATTTTCAAGGAAAAATATGAATAGTTAGTGAATTGGGCGTCCTGATTCCGAATCCGAAGTGATTTTCAACCTATTTTGACTCCTAATATCATTTTCCGGAAATTGGGGTGGTTCCATGGCTGTTGGCGAGCAGTGTATATCACTGAAGATGACCCCACTTGGTCATAGAGTGCATTTTTGGTATATCTCTCGCTCCAGCAAATTTCATGATCCTTACCCAACGATTATGTGAGATACAGGGGTGGCCCGCTTTCAAATGGGTCACTCTGTAGATAGAACATGGTATTCACTACTGAAAGCTGAACATGAAAATGGTAGATTCAAGATCAATTAATGAAAACATCCTGTAACTCATTTGTAGACTAAAGTCACTCATTCATATGCCATTTTCAATATATCTATTTTTCCAAACAAAGTGTCACTGACAAGCTATTGGATTTTTCTTGTAGACTCCCTGATAGAAAAATTTGTTAAACGCAGTGACATTTTGGGACAAATCATCCGATTTGTCCCTCTACAAATGTATTGACATAATACGAATACTTTTATTTTATAGAAACGAGGAGAGAAAATCCCAAAGAATCAAGTAAAATGAATGTACCACCTCCTCGATTAACCTACAGACAGTATTTATATATTCACCTCGGGCTGGTTGCCGAACGCAGCGTAGTGCAAACACGTGTCGCCGTCGTTGTCGCTCGCGTTCACCGACGCACCTGCCTTGACAAGCGCCAGCACGACGTGCGCGTGCCCCTGGTGGGCGGCCACCTGCAATGCCGTCTTGCCGCTGCTGCGCGCATCAACGCTCGCCGGACGTGTAGCCGCCGCCTTGTTGCCGCCCCCTGCCACGCCCAGCAGGCTCTGGACGGCGTCGAGGTGGCCCTGGGCGGCCGCGCGCACTAGCTGATCGGCCGCGTCGTCGCTGCGGGCGTCCGATTGGTGGGCGGGCGACCATTGCACTGGAGATAGTCAATACACGTTGGCTACCATTTATATGCGTCTCATGTGATACACAGTCACACATGCTCTACAGACCATGGGCGTAGCCAAAATTCAATTCAGGGAAGGGGGCGGGGGGTGGCAGTAGGACATATTTTTGGAATAGTGCAACAAATTAGGTTTCCATATAGAACTTGAAGTATTATTGATGAATGAGTCGAATGCTAGTTCTGCTTTTATTCTTTTATCTCCAAAATTCATCATTCATTTCTGCAGCACCATCTCCTGACAAGTCAGTCAAACCATAATAAAACAAAAAACCCTCATGATTCAATGGTACCTCAACTTATTTCGAATGAATGTACAAGATAATATATATTATATGAATTAATCCTAACGGAACAGATCGTATTTGCGGAATATAATCGTTAGGGACCTAAATCAATTTTTGAACCACTTCGCACGTGTTATTTATGTAAATAATGTGTCTATGCGTTGTTCTAAATTGTTGAATTTCAGAGCTCATTCCAAACATGCCGTCATGGCCACCATTTGGCAATGTTCTGGGATACGTCGGTACATGATGACGTCAGTTGTTATGCCGTTTTCTTATCGGTCAGATAATCTTTCATTCCCCCTCATGAAGTAAGGTTGTCAAGTCACCAATTATAATCAAGTTATCAAAAAGTTGTTAGAGTCTCCTGGTTGTACAAAACTACATCCAAATTGAATATGCCATTTGACCTGATAGGAGGAAGCCATAATATTATAGTAATTCATTTGTGACTTTTTCGAGCGACCAGCTTGTTGAAATATGTATCATACTTGGCAATGCTGTGCTGAATGCTGAGAACTGACAAGACAACTCCCACAATCCTGTGTTGTCACGTTGACCGTACCAAATTTCCTCTAGTGTGAATTAATAGGAATTGAAATATTTATTATTAATACAAATTATCATAAGCAATTAGCCAGAAAACATAATAGGGAACATTTTAAGACAATGGATTTTTTATATAGTTAATTAAGAATAATACCAATACATAATTGAGAATTTATGAATTATTGAATAAATAATATGTCCGATCCCACATGGCAACACTGTGCTTTTGCCTGCCCCTACTTCCAAAACCGAAAGACCGGTTGTTCTTTGCGGTAAATTTCTAGCCATTTGGAAATTACAGCGGCATTATTGATGATTCTATTAAAAAAATAGTCCACTTGCAAATTAGGGAGTGAAATGTTACGCCACTCAGTATTTTGGATTCGGGTAAGCACGGGATGAGAAAGGAAAAAGGAACGACAAGCCGGTAGAGGGTAGGCAGCAGGCGAGGAGAGACGTCTAGGACTCCAGAAAGCGTACCTATGATGTGATCTAAAGATCTTATAAAGTACAGATTTCCTAGTAAAATACTCTGTTTGCAATACAAAATATTGCGATCCAGTAGTATGGAAATAGTTATGTTCCTGCATATTTCAAAGGTATGAATGCCAGCAAGAGATTGAGATACCCTAACACACCCTAACCTAACAAAGTGCATTAATATGAACATTTCTTTCGTCCGATCCGTGGTTTAGGTAACATAAGAACAAAGGACATTCGCGGTAGTTGCAAGGTGATATAGATAATATAGCTTTCGTAAAGATGATTAATAAAATTTGTTGTGAACCCAGTCTCAATAATCATAGACCTTGGCAGAAAACAATTTGTGATTATAAGTAAGTATATCAATCCACTCACATGATGGTTCTTGTCTTTGGTTTTGAACAGCATGCATTGTATTGGCCAGTTCAGCTGCACTTCCTGGCACAGTTCTAACACATTGAGGGTGCAAAGTCCATGCTTGCCCTTCCAACTGAACCCTCAAATCTCCGTCCGAATACACTTTCAAGACTTTCCCCAATTTGCCCAAAGACTACAAAAACAGATATTGTAATCAAACAAGAAACAACAGAACAAAAGAAGATATCGAGGTCAGTAGTGCATCTATGCCGCAACTTCCTCAATCGACCCCTATCTCCCCTACACTACGAGCTCGCAAACTTCACAAAAACGTCAAGCATGCGTCGTAACGTCAGAATGCGCCAGAAAGCATCGAACAAACGTGAACAAAACGTCACGAAGTACACACATACATTGTCAAAACGTATAAATGCATCAAAAAAACATGAAAAATTTTCGAGGCTTTCCTGACATTTTCATGACGTTTTTTCGCGATTTTTTGACGAATGCGTGACGCTTTCATGACATTTGCAAGCACGTATATTTAGCATGATGGAAATTGGGGGCGATTGAACCAGTAGCGGCATAAGTGCACTACTAAGGTCCGAATGGAAACTAACATTTCTCATTATTTCAATCCATTCTCCATGCCCTTTTTGCAACTCTTTGACCTTCTCGGCGTCACTTATCAAAGTAACGACATCTCCTACAGCGAAACTGTTGACTTTGTGCAAAGAGACAGGGTTGAAAGTCCACCGATTGTTGCAACCTTCATACTGCACCCTGATGTCACCCTTGTCGGTCACACGGTGTACCAAACCAACCCTTCCAATATACTGAAAAAAATCTTACTAATTTGATTGTCCATCAAAGCAAATCATAACTGCAGTGAACATGTCTATGAATTTATCATCATTAACATTTCTATAATATTAACAGATACTAACATCTGCCATTCTTGGGTTCCATCCTCCATGACCTTGTTGCATAGCCTTCAATTCTTCGACCGAACCAGTTACTTGTACTTTATCTCCCACAGTGAAAGGGCAAGGGCCTGTTCGACCAGGTCTGACTATTACTTGGTCTATATTTTGGCCTGAAAAAATCACAAAATTTCTCAAAAACAATTTTCTTGTATTTATAATCATTATTTACAGAGGTTGCTACCTGTTGGTCATCGTTTGTATATAACAAGGATTGTATTTCGATATACATACCTAGTACTGGAAGATGCTCTGGATAAAACTGTCCACCAGATGCAGATTCGATGTATTTTATATCACAATTGCCCTTATGACCTAACCTATAAACATTGGTAGATCCAGAAAACCACTTCACATTGGCCACAGATCTGCTGCTCTCATTATCCCAACCTCTAATGTCCAAAACAATACCAATTTTTTCTAAAATTCAACAATGAATAGGATAGAATAGATAAGAAAATTATATTGTGGAAATATGAAAGTGAACGTCTACCTTCTCCTCCATCTTGATTTCCCCATTCCCAATTGTACCCTCTCATAACTTTGGCACCAACAAAAATTCCATGTAACTCACATTTCCTAGCTTCAGATCTTGGTGGAAGGTCAACACTATAAAAATTACAAACTATACTGGTGGGTTTAGTTTTTAATATTGTAGCCAGAACAGGCCAAAATACTTATATATAATGAATTAATGAATAATTTTGGATCCTCCACCATCATGGATGAGGTGGAAATTAAAAGAAGGCATTTATACACAAACTTTGCTGCATCTATTGTTGTGTCTGCACCAACTAGATAATTCTATTTTTTGTATGGCCTGGCTATTTTAGATTCCTTACCACATCTATTTATGATAGTAATTCAATGTTGAGAGAAAGAAAAATAATTCACGTTTTGAATATACAAATACCTAATTTCTATCTGACAACTGCATGACAGATTGATGAAAAACAACTATAAATTTGATTTTGTGTGACCGGAAAAAAGTTCCGACATTTCATCTCTGTTGACAGGTTATAAATTTTTTTTCCACGGGAAAAAGTGAGTACTTTGTTCCCGGATATACAGGGTGTCCCGGAATTACATACATATTTCAACCACTGATTCTAGGAACAAAAATAGTGAAAAAAGTTAAACATGATCCCAGAAATGGCTCATGCCCATGGGCAGTTATAGCCATCTGAAAGAGGGTCTGAGATGATTTTTTTTTGTAAATATTTCCGAAACCCTCTGTGACGAGCTCCGTGATGAGATATCGAAATTTGGAAATTTTGAGAATCTTCCAAAATTTTTTTCAGCAGCGGGTGAAATAGATGGGGCTAGGGACATTGAAAAACTGTTGCGTCTGGTGTTGCATTCGGTGCATCAATTTTCGCTCTCGTTAATAAGAGCAATTAGCAAAAATTTGATATCATGGAAATATCCGTTAGCCAATATTTTATTGATTTGCTGAATATATGAACTCATTTCAAAAACACCTCGTATAGATAAGAAAATGAAAAAGATATTATAAAATTTCTTTTCAATCCACTCCGTATACCAACTATCGATAACGGAATTAGTCATACTTGTTCGGGTATTAATCGGTTGAAAGAATGACGTAACTAACTAGTCATTTGAATGATAAATCAAACCAATAAGTAGTCTCGTTCTAGACTTCATCGTGTACGGTCGGTTTAAATGATAATAAAAAAAGAACTCGAAGTGTTTAAGTTCGGAAAATTGGAATTCATATTCGGCTTAGTGATTGTATTTTCATTTGAGTGTGTGAAAGTTGTATTTTTTTCAAGATGGTAAGTGTTTCTGTATAATATACATACATGGATGCATTCATCAAGTAGTTGGTATTTTGCTTCGGTATACAAGGTGTCCCAAAACAACGTACCATGATTTCTACAAGCTAAACTAGACATTAAAATAGACTGAGCCGTGAGAGGGCGATGATGAATAATTTTATTTATTTACAGATTTTCCTGAATATTTCAAAATCCTTGAAATGTACTGCTCTAAAATTCGTAGAACTATTTACTATCATGAATGTGCATGCAAAGCAAGACTTACCTATTTATTCAATATACAGGGAGATAGATATCTCAAAATCTCTGATGAAAATTGATCTATCTTTCGATATTTCAATGAGACAAAATTAATACGTTGTTCTGGGACACCTTTTTCCACATAGCGATGACAAAATTTTGAAATTCGCTTTCTCTACCTATTCATACAGAGGATCTAGTTGGATATTAACACAACAAGTCTAACGATAGATTAAAAAGACCAACGAAACTATTCGAAATTTGGTATACCATTCTTCAACACATGAAATTTAATGGAATCGTATCGAAATTCGAAATGTTAAAAATAATGTATACTTCTGTACTAATAGCCCATATATATATAGCAAGTTGCAGAATGTAACATCTTTGCCCGTGGAGTGCGAATAACTCGCCATTTCATTACTTTATTTGGGACACCTTGTATTTCATTTTTCTAATCGAACGAGCTCTTTCTTCTGATTTGAAACATATATATACTTTATTGAGGTTAGGTATCTTTGTCAGTTTTCGAAAAATATAGATTTTTCCGTATAAATCGAATTATATCGAAAACGGCAATATTGAGGTATACGACATACTTAATGAAAATTGAGGGTAATTTGGATCTGGAACCGTTATCGTGAAAAATATATGGTGTTCCATTTGACATATTTTTTTATAGGTTCAACATTATCAGTTTTTCACGGACTTGGCAACCGTGAAGTCAAATATAGAAAACAAAAAACAGTTGTGTAGCAATTTTGACATTGCATTCGAAAATTCAATTGAAAACAGGATGTCCCATTTAAAAAAACTCACCATCAGCCGATATCTTGGAATTCTTACACCCTATAGATATAAAAATAATTTTAGGTGATAGTACTCATGAAACCCTATAACTGTTGCATTTGAATTTTGTCTATTTATATCATGATGGATTGGCTAATATCGAAAGAGAACACACTATTGACACACCGTATATACTAAAAATGACCGTTTTTTTATTGTAAGTACATATATTTGATTTATTTTTACCCCCATTCCCCCCTGTAGAACTATTATTCCATATTGAATTTAGTCATACATGAAATTTTATCTTTCGGGAATTTATCGTTCAGAAAGGTGACGTAACTAATCAGTCATCAGAATAATGAATCAAGCCAGCCATTCACTAGTCGTATATTAGATTTCGTCGGGTACAGTCGATTCAATTGGTTTAACAAAATAACTTGTATCATTTTATTTGCATCGTGAAGTTTCAATATTTGAGCAGTTTGTTTGATTCACCATAAAACTAAAATTGACACTGTATTTTTTTATTGTACATATATTGATCTTCTTCTTCCCCCTGTAAAACGATTTTTCCATAAAAAAACTGTTGTCTTAAGTAATACACAAGTGATACCATTTTGCCGGAAATATTGGGCGATTGTTACATCTGTTTGCCTAATAAATTCGCCGATTGACACTGCTTATCAAAACTTTCGATCCGTAGGCAAGAAGTTTTGGAACAATGTCATGAACGAAATAAAAGCAACAAGCTGGAGTATGTCGATCGACGAATATTTCCAGGAAAAATAGTATCACGAGTTGTATTCGTATTCCATGATTGAGACAATTAACGAGCGGCTTGCGAGAGTTGCGCACACTGCATCCATCATTCTGGCTTCCAGCATAATTGAGGTCTTAAAGATCCAAAATTTCATCGCTGAAAAACGAGAAAGGTTGGTCGCGTGTGGGTCAATTCGGCTTCTGTATTGGTAGACCAAGTCCGATTAAATTTAATAAACAAAAAAATATCGCTGTAATATAGAAAAAACCGTGAAAATGGCTGATTCTGATTGATTCTAGAGAACAAGAGTGAAATAGTAATATCGTAATATGTAATACCACAAGTGATACTGTTTAGCCAAAAACATTCAGTGAGTGTTATGACAGCTTTTTGTCTAGTTATTTCGCGAATGATATCTTTATCAAAACTCCGAGCCGTAGGCGAGGCAAATTTGATATACAATATGATACATATTCGAGATAACCGCGTCAATTTTTTCAAATGAAACATCCTATATATTATAAAATTTTTGGAATCTCCATGTAAAGCTGAATTCAAAAATTTATTACACATAGGTTTTGTATACAGTGCGTCCGTTGAATTGAGTGCCCTCGTAAAGTAGTAGATGAATTCGTTGGAAATTATAGGAATAATTGAAAGAACGTTCGGAGCCGTCGAATTTTATTTTCATTCGGGCATTCTTTCCAATTCAATCAATCAATAAATACAGGGTATCTGGAAAAGCCATGAAGTAAATTATAGGACTGTTAGAGTGAGACAAAATAATGTTAGTACTTCATATAAACAAATTTCTATCGCACTTCGTTTCGGAGTTATTGACCTACCATTACTAAACTCATACATGGTGTTACTAAAGTATTAAATACTGCAACTACCATGATGTTATTGCGCAAATATAGTTTTTGCTACCTTTGAAATGCGATTTTATCTAGAACGGTACAAGATATCGATTAAAATAAATTATACTATTAAATCATACGGTGAAAGCAGAATGTAAAAATTTTCACCTCCATGAAAAATGCCTTCACTAAACAAAAATTCGTCCGATCCTGTATGAAACATAATCACTGAACACCCGTTTACATACCGAAATGGGCATAAGTATGAGTTAATCTAGTTGCTCGAATATTATTGATACCATGGCAACCGTTTAAAAGTTATACATGCATTTTTTTATTCAAACTTTTAAGGTCAATAACTCCGTAACGAAGTGCGATAGACATTTTTTACATGAAGAACTGACATTTTGACTCACTCTATCGACATAACCTTTCCGGACACCCTGTATAGAATGATTCGTATCTGGGAAATTACGTCATCGCGGTATTTTTTTAATGGAATTTCTTGTCACCCCTGTAAAACTATTTTTCATTATCATCTTCTTTAATTGATAAAATTTTATTGTTCGGGAATTAATCAGTTAGAAGGATAACGTAATTAAATAGTCATCAGAATAATGAATCACGCCAGGTATTCATCAGTCGCATATTAGATTTCGTTGTGTACGGTCGATTCAATTGGTGGAGAACCCTCTGATAGCATATTAAAATATTAAGAATAATTCCATATTGGCCCTAATGTTAATTTGACATTTCTTATCGGCACTATATAGTGACCATGATACTGATACTTAAAATGTGTATTTCTGCAATTCATTTTCAGTTTAAATTTCGGACATGTGAACACTAATTTCAATGATATTCATATTGACACTAGAGTCGTATGAAAAACTATTATTTTGCTGAATTACAGTTTTTTTGTGGTCATTATTCATGTAAACAGTGTGATTCAATTTGATCTATCCTACTTATGTATTCCCGTATACTATGCCCGTCTTAAGCCCATTCCCCCTTTCAAATTTTTTAATCACTTGGTATATCAAAACGGAATTATAGGAGATGATGGCTCAGCGACATCTTGGAATATTTTTTTTAATGGAACACCCCGTATATTATTTCATTTTCGAAATCTCATAATTCTAAACAATCATTTAATAC